CATAAACACACAATAAACAGGATACAACTTATTCATGCATACTGAATGTGCCAGTAACTTTTTTTTTAATCCTCTGAATTTGTTTCTGAAAGGTATTGAACCATGCTAAGGGTTATGCACTCTTTTAATATCAGTTAAGTTCATACTAATTGGAAACTTTAATGATTTCAATGCAACCATATAAATGTTACCATTTGCAGCAAAGGGCATATTCAGTATTTTGCTGGCCTAGAAATAGGTACAAACTGAAATGCATCACAAGTTACATGTATATTGCTACACAATTGCATGCATCAAACCACTTGGACCAAGGATGAATTTGACCTTTTCCCCCTTATGTAGATCCACATACAGGTATGAATCATGTAGGAGACAGCCACCATAGCAGCTTATAGAATTATTCTCTATTGTGTTCCTTTCATACAAGTACCTTGATTTCAAGACACTGTGTTACGACAAGAGGGCACTTACTAATAGATGAATTTAGACAATGGGTGAAGGGTGGACGGCCAGCACAGAAATCCATTAGTGAGAGATCTAAATGGGAATCTGGTGACGGAATCATGCCCAGTTATTTTGAGTTTGACCTTGGCTTTTCCATTGGGAATAGAGAGAGTGGACAGGGCACTTTGTCTTGAACCTGCTTGAACCAGCTTGTAATTTATCAAAGGGGCCATTTATATCATAGGGGCTCTTCTAAAACCTGAAAAGAAGAAATATTTCAATATTTCAATAAAGAAGAAAGATTGAAATCTATCAATAAAGAGGGGTTAAGTGAGTGAATTTTTAATTTCATAATCAAAACATTTCATGGCCATGTCATTTTTGACCTTGTCTGATCATTCATACAACAAAATTAGGGCAATATGGCTTGCAGCAATGTATATATGTACTATACATGTAAGATTATATGCTCGAAATATTATCTGTTTTTGGGATGGAAATATTATCTGTTTTTGGGATTACAGAAAAACATACATAGATCATATAACGGGAGAAAAAGAATTATGGGTGGGGGCCCGGCTAATAGTAATAGAATTATAGTTGTTGTTGCTCTGGTTGTCAGTAGGGGGTCTAACCTTGAAACAGCGTCTTTACCATCCGACTGCTGATTTTTTTCATGGGACAGTCCTTATAAAATAAAGACTGGAAGAGAAGAAGTTGCAATCTATAGAAACTGGTTTATTAACTGGCGACTGCAATAACAGAATTGTGTACACAATCCATCAAAACTATCCTGAGAACTGACAATATTTCAATCGTGGAATCAATCTTGTGATAAATGAGGTCACACCAAATGTCATAACCTGAAAGCTGAAAAAGGAAAAAAATTGATTTATTGATTACAACCACAATAATATGTCACACACAGATTCTAGTGTTTAGAATACACAAATGCAAAGAAACAATTATCATTCTGCATTTGTGGTTAATATTCCCCATTTGGCAATTGACTTATAGTTAGAAAATTGAAGATATCTCACTATAAAGCACTTGCCCCAGATATAGGTACAGCAGATTCAATTTCTAAGGCTGATTATGCTAAATCAATGCTATTCTAGCTTACATTGTTACAAGGGACAGAATCTCACATGGGGCTTAATTTCAGAGTCATCTTGGATATGATTCAATAACTCTACAATGGAATGACCAGCACAACAAAGCCTAGGATTTTGCAGGCCCTACAGTCTTTGTGAAACATTGAAAGGAAAACTGAATCTCTTCTTCATATAACTATACAAATGTAAATACTGCAAATCAAATCAAATACTGTATGGACATCTAAATACAAAGCTCTAAATTGCAGTACCATGCAGGGCTTGAAAAACATTTTGTTCCTATAATTTGTGGTTTATGATACAGAGCCTGAACCATTCCAGGTAGGCAGGTGGGTATTTCATGCCCGGACGTCATGGTAAATACTGCAGGATGTGGAAGGAACCAAGGATGCAGTAAAAAAGACAATAAACACAAAACCATAGTAATAACATGCAATAAATGTACATGCAATACGAGACGAGAACAACAGTACATATCATTATATTATCAAGTCTCTGGCATCATGAAATGAGGTACATTTATTCCAACTATCCTATTCAAAGAAAGGTCAAATTACTAAAAACAAAAGCATGCAACAATTTTATCTTGGCAAGAAAATTGTTTCCCTTTTGTATAAATATGTAATTGTAACAACCTGCCTACATTATTAGTACTTATCTACAATCTCTCCAATCTACTATTTAATTTAAAACCTTACTAAAAGCCTGTATGACTATAGCAATAAAACTTATCCCATCATCATCACCATCAATTCCTGACAGTCTGGCTGGCATAAAATATTAAACATGCACAATAAAGACATCAACAAAATTCTGCTAAAACATGAGAATAAATGGATTTCTACTAATTTTCCTCGCAAATGGCAGCGGTTGATTAATATGTGAAAGCAAACATGATTTAATTTATGACCATATCTACATGTAATCTGGATTACCCAGCAAGCTACACCAATATAGAAATGCACAAAGAGCAGTAAATGGAGGGCCAGTGGGACGTATTTAGGTGTAATCTACGGGCTATGTGTAGCAAAGTGTCTAATGGCATAATTCCCGGACTGTCAGCGTTACTTAGGTACAGGACGGTTTGGCCTAATAAGGCTCTAATGCACATCTGTTGGGAGGGGAGCTGCACATCTGGGTACTTAGTACCAGTACAAGCTTCATGTTATGTCTATGTGTAGCCAAAACACATTTTAACCAAGAAAATTCTGCTTCACGTCAGCCTTAAATTTCATAGTGCTGTTGCAAATCAACATTCATTGAGTATTATTACGTATGTTGAAGGAATTCACAATGCATCAAAATTCTAATTTATGAAATATTTTCTCCTTATTCAAGTCCAGTCCCCTGAATTGTAGAAATACATGTAGTCCTATTGTGAGAGTGAAGGAATTTAACATTTACACATACAGCACCATGTAAATGCAATAAAATTGATATGGTTCAAATACGGACAGCACTAAACATTGATGGCACAGAATTTCAAAAGAATGCTTCCTTCCGGTCTCGGTTATTCCCCTCCAATTTCCTAGCAGGAATGCAGGCCATGGTGCATGTTATCACGGGTAGTCATTGATTAATATTCTGTACAATGGGGAAGCGTATGGAAGGGCAATAGGAAATACCACAGATCCAATTGCCGCCTGGAGGTGCAAAATTGATTTATACAATGCGATAAATAAATGTGGGCTGAATGGTATTAGTAGCTATAGTGATACATCGTACATGCATGTAACGTGTTGTACAATGTTACTGTGTTGTATATCTATAAAATCAGATATCATTCGAGGTCTAACTGTACTGGAGGAAAATAGATTATGGAACATAAAACAAGTACTGTACATAAATTTAAACATTGTTACATACATCTGCAGAAAAATGTTTCAGATATATACTACAAGTCTTTGGTAGAAAAAATACAAGCAAACATTTGCACAGCTAGAAAAATTATCATTGTCGTCAACAGAAATAAAGTATTTAGAGCCCTGTATGTCAAATATTATAGCATATTTGGGAAAATAGCTGAGTAACTCTATCAATAGTATAGCATGCTTCTAACAGTGGGTGGGGGCTGACATACATAAGTGTTGACCATCAAACAATAATGCATTATCCAAGATCAAGAGCAAATACATGAGTAATTCTCTAAACAAGATGCATGGCGACCAAAATATCTTTCTTGAAAAATTATGAATGATGATGACTGTTTTGTTATATTCTGTAACTGTCCAAACAATTACAGTGAATGATCATGATATAAAATGCATGTACAGTTCTGATGTGTCCTTCAACATCTTTCAAGGATCTGGTCACTAGAGGTCAAGGACCTGTGGTGTGTTGACCTATGACCTGTAACTGCAGGTGTGACATACTTTCACACAATATACATATATCTGGGTGCAGCTTTAAACAAAGACATTTTATTGAGCCTTATCTCACTACAACTCTTAATACACTATCTCTGGTAATGTTTCTAGTGCAAGACTGTTGAGTGGATAGGGGGAGTCTAGTCTACAGTCAATACACATTAATATTCTTAATATCAGGCAGACAGTAGATCAATAAAATCTGACTCATGCAAAGGTGCAAATGATGCCTTTCGATAGGATTTTCCCAGTGGAAAGAGTCTTTCATTGTAAGATCAATCAGATATGCATGTATACATGTACATGTAGTACTGTACATGCAATCAGAAATCTTCTGTCTCTGAGATGGGGAGGGTGCGGAGACAAGGGCTTGATGTATATCATTCTTTAGTACAGGTATGTAACCAGAGAAATCGGCAGAGCATCTACACACAGTCCATGCACACGCATGCATGCGCACACACACACACACACACATACAAACGCGTGGCGCGGCGCGCGCACACACACACACTGGTACACACGCACACACGCACACACGCGCTGACACCTGCATAGCGGTTACCCTCGCCTGATCAATGGAATAGCGGATTTGCATTTTTCCAAGAATCATACTAGTAGTACCGTATCATACGGCAGACCAACTAGATATCATTCATATTTCCATCAATTATACCCTGTCCTATAGCAGAGATATCCCTCCTATAGATCCCTACATCACTACAATGATGATAGATGGGTAGAGGGTTGTATCCATGATGTCACAACCCTGGGTCCCCCAATAGCATATCAGCCCCACCATTTGGTTTTATTACGCGCTTAGCCTGGTCTTCACGCAGACTAGAACCAATCGATTGGGCGGTGTCGGCTGTAGAGGTCCCAAGGCGCCCTAATTGCTATTGTCTTGGTCCAGAGATTGCCAGGTGAACACATAATGCAGTGTCCGAGGCTGGGACGTCCCATCGCGACTATACATCAGCTAGCCTGCTATTGTTATTAATATGCACCTGCTGAAATATAATTTCTACAGCTTGACCAGCTAGAGTTGGGGATATCTTAGAGAGACGAAGCTTACCAAGTTGAGCACGGTCTCCAGTATGTCCCGGTTGGACACCTCTCCGACTTGGATTAGCCCGATGAGAACAGCGAATTTCATCTTGGTGGTTTTCATCTGGACGTCGGTCGCGGCGCCCGAGCCGCCGCCGGACTGCAGCCCGAGCTGCGCGGCCAAACCCGTCACCGACGCCGCCTGGGTACTCATCCTCCCCGCCTTAAAATCCAATCGGACAGAACTCGGCGAAGGTCTGCACTCGCGTTGGGTCCCCAAAACTACTACTCCGGTACTGTACGAGGGAAGAACAGCAAATCAGGAACCATAAATGGGCGCCATCTTGTTTGTATCACCTGCCGAACGCATGCGCCTGACGGGGCTTTTGATTGGTCAGGAAATCGATCCGCCGAGAAACTTGAAAATGAAAGTTCCGCCCAAGGAGGCAACGCCCCCTTACCTGTGCACACCTGAACTGTAGGCACTCCCAAGTTCAAATCCACCGCCCGAACTTACCTTATCCCTCTACAATATGACTTTACAGGACCTGGCACGCGATGCGTACTATCTGTGCGGTAGATCTTGACATGTGGGAGTTAGGGGGAAACTGAGGTGCGTTCAGATAGACATCAGGACGGGATGAAAGTTGACGTGAAAACCCGGACATTTAGACTGGGGCACGAACTTCAGCTGACAGGGGCTTGCTTAACACGATTTGCATCGACCGTGTGAGCCGCAGGTTTGCTCAACACACGGGGAATTATGTTTCCGGATGTGGGACTGATGTCAGCGTCATTCATTCACTATTTATGAAGAACACAGTACCATAATCCTCTTTCTTGCCAATAAACAAACGCGCGCGGGGCAATACGCGGATACTAAATTTTCGCTCATAGGAAATTTTGAAATGTAAGTCATGGAGTGATATTCTATCAATTTCAAAGTTTCAAAAGGATTCTCCTTATTAGGTTATCACATTATGTTAATTCATAAAACTGGTATTTGTGTGCCTAATTTAAGTTAGCCCTTGCCTTCAAGACCCCTACTGTTACCATTTCAAGGTTAACGTTACTGTATTATTGCATATTTTCCGGTCATGTCAACAACGTGGCGTTACGCTATCCTTACATGACGTCCCGTCTAGATGATAATGAATAGCGTGATAAATCACCCTGGCGTCTCCAGTAATCAACTCGACCTTCTAATGCTAAGATAAGAACTAATGTAATTAATACGCTTCTGTTGTGAATATATAAGTGGCTTAAATGCCCGGCGGCTGTCAGAAGGGAATACCAAAGTTCCGAGGATGCGGTTTAAATCCCAGATTTTCCTCATCGATAGTTCATCACTGACATCGCCTAAATGCCGCCCAGCGTTCTCAAGTCGATGCCAAACTAATTAAACAGCGGTGTGAACTGAATACGAACACCTTTGTCTTTTGCCCAATCTTTCCATTAGCGACTGAAACAAATCCTTTCGAGAGAATTCGATGATGTGCCAGCTCCAAGCCATTTCAGGAGGACGTGGAAAACCCTAGTGACGTGGGGAAATATCATCTGATAGTAAAATAATGAAAATATGTCTAGTCTTTATTGTCTTTATTTCGATACCCTTTAGGTGCACGCCAAAACTGGCATTAGTCTTAGGTTCATAGAAAAATAAAAACATACACATAACAGATAACATGGTAAAAGAAAACACATTTGGTACAAAAATGAAATTTATATACAAACGACAGGAACATCACAGAGTTCACATTATCTGAACAGTTAGTAGACATGGACTGGAAAGTGTTTTGATGTATTGTGGTATTAAAGTTGTTCCAAAGGTTGACTACCCGGTACTGAAATGTTCTCTTTTTTATTGTTTATTTTGGGTTTTGGTAGCATGAAACTATTGGAAGCTGAAAATCCATTTATCTTAAACCTCTAGCCGATTTCATTTGGGATCTTTGTTATGGGATTATGATTGATAGGACGAGACATGTATTTCCTTAGAGGTCAAACCACGTGCGATGTAAAATACCCGGTACTCGGCTGTGGTGATCATATTGCCTGTTAATGCTGTCTCAAACCAGGCCAAACGTTATTAACGGAAGCACATTGATCGGGATATCTGTGTTTTCACGTGTCTCTAATGCATCGCTGGGTTCTGGGTAATGTCAGGGATGGTTGCAGTTAGTTGCTGTAGTTGGTGCTATAACCGCTGCGAGGCGCTCTAAGACAGCTGTACAGGTGTCCGTGGTGTGAGCTATGGGATATTTGTACCTGTTCAGTTGCATAGAGCTGAATCAATGTCGTGATATCTTTTCAGATGAGCATTTAGATTTGTAAATTACAAAATAACACTAGGTTAGTTTCTAACTAAATAGCAAAACCACAAAAGAAGTCACAGAATGGATTCAGCTGCATAAAAACTAGAGTTCCGCGACCTCTTACCTTTTCAAGTTCTTGAACCTTTTACTGTTCCCTAGCGGATCCAATTGGTCTCCATATGTGGCTACAGCGCAAATGCTGAACTCAAGTTATCAAAGTTTTGAGCTTTCACACTGATATCGTAAACATCTGGCTTTAAATGTCATATAACATAATTTACTAGTATATGTTTGAGTTTCATTGAGTATTCGAAGTCTTGGCCGCCATCTTTGTTGCCAAAAATGGCGCGAATCCTACCTGCGGCGAAGTGACCGCAGGGACATGTAACAAGTGCGCCTGACCTTCCTAGAAGGAAGCGTTTAATGAACATTTGGTAGCTGTCACCTCCCCAATGGCAACGGTTGTAATTAACAACGAGGTCTCGTGTCCCTGATAGTTTAACAACAAAGCCAGTGTGACCTGGAGGCCTTTCCTGTCACCCTGTCCTGTGACCGCCTGTCATGGCCACAAGGACACGGGACGGCACGACAGTCCGACATTGATTTATGGCATTTTTGTCTTATCTCGAAGGTTATCTTGTTTCGCAGTAACCAGCCAGACGACTTATGTAAACAAACACAGCAGTATTCCAGCAAGTGATAATAATAATAAGCAAGTGATAATGAACTCTCAGCTGTTGGTCAGTATGTATTTGTGTCATGTTTTAGCAGGGTTGTGCCGTAAAGACGTGCCACGCCCACCGGAGAAAGTAGTCCGTCGCTAGCGGCTGTCTGGAGGCGGTATTTCTCATGATGACAGGGCCGGACCTTGAACACCTGTGTAATTACCAGTCCTTTGACCAGTTACCTATAAAATTGCCCATAGAAATACCACAGCAGCAGTAAAAAGAACACTACTGTTTGTGGATTTCTGGCAGTCAAGTCATCATTAGTGCAATTAAGACTCACTTATGATATGATGGAAGCTACAAATCTCTGTGGTCAGCGCGCAGCGTCCTCTAGCGGCACGCTCGGATGGATGCAGTTGTCATTGCTGCAGTCCACTAGCGTGGTTTCAAATTTCCAGATTCTATCTCCTCATGGTATCATACTCCAGACAAAGCATGATGGAATTCGAAACATGTTGTCGGCGGCATCTTAGAAAGTTCCATCTTGGTTCCATCTTTTTTACCTGCTCCGAGGCAAGAGGTAAGATCGGATAGCGGCATCATTCCATGTCCAGAACAGACATACGCCTGTCCCTCAGATGCAGGTGTGTGAAACCCCAGGGGTAACGTCTGAGATCGTGTGTCTGATATCCAGGCTGCAGCACGCTTTATATGACAGTTTGATCCAGCCTAGTATATCATAATAATAATAATAATAATGAAGACCTTTATTGTACGCAAATACCCACTGGGTTCAGTACAGGTCACAGGAAAGACGTCACAGTTTGCAATGAATATATACAATGCTAGTGCTAATTCTATGTACTATGGACATATAGTCTAATAATTACGATAATTTGGTTTCTTCTCGCTTCTTAGTAATGATGTAGATATAAGTACAGATATGTTTTATAATCGAAGGTTTGTCTAAAATCATCAGAAATATGAACTTATCTGCGTTGCTAAGATGTATGAAATGGGGAAACATACATTGCAATAGTTTATAAAGCTCTGCTCTCTCTTCGTTGTATAAACTACATTCTAATACAAAGTGTTCCTCATCCTCTATCCTATTTAGATTACAATACCTACATATTCGTTGTTCCAGGGGAGTGCGGTTATGGCGTCCGGTTTCAATGTGTAATTTGTGGCAGCTTATCCTGAGTTTTGTAGTGGCGGTCCTATGCCGTATATTGTCGAGATTTAGATACTTTTCTCCATTATACGTTGTCTTGAACAGTCTGTACGATCTCAATTTGTTTCTGGCAGCTCCGCCTTTGTTATCATTGTGTATTTCTTTTAGAAAAGTTTGGAAATGGATGTCTTTCAGACGTTGGTTGATGGAATTAATAATATGGGACGTATCTGTGTTTTGTGATAAAGTACAATGCCAGATATAACCAAAACCACACTCCTCTAAGGACTTCCGAACTCCTGAGGCCCAACATTTGGCTCCAGTTTTGTCTAAGGCTATCTGACAAGATAGAGCATCGAACTGGAAACTGTAGCTTTCTTATAGGCTTTTCATGTCAAACAAGCATACATACCACCACCACCAAGTACAACGGAGAAGACTATGGATGTCGCTCAGTAGCTTTCGTTCAAGAGAGAAAAAATGGAAGAGAAAAACTTTTGCAGATTTTAATATGCTTTGATCTACCTTAGCATACTGGTCTAAAATAGTGGTATGGGAGTAGGGCAAGTCGTGAACAGGTGTCGGCACGTTTTGTCACCACACCATACAGCAAAGTAGACAACAGTACTAGTCCAACCAAACATTAGTTTCAAAGAACATATTGTTGGTCTCTTTCTCAAAATGTTTCATATTTTACCTGTTAACTGTTCGTCCGTGAATGTATGTATGTATGTATGTATGTACACACATTTCGGAAAGCTGTCATTTTACTTGCATAAGCGCCATAAAAGTGTAGATATCCTGTAGATATCTCCCACATTGTAGTCGGCACTTAAAATTTGATAACAGCGAAACATATTAAAACGCAAAGTAAACACAGCAACAGCGCGATACATGATAAGAACAAGTCTGGATAACAGAGCATCTCTTAAAACAACCATAGAGTGATAAGGAACGGAAATGGTTGTGTTACAGAATACCACAATACTTGTCCTTTGAAAAAGGAAACGCCAGAAGCAGTAGTTCTGACATTTTATGCGTGCAATACGGAAAGCAGACATTGCTATGTTCTTGTAGATATATGGTTCCAACCTTGACATGCCTGGCTAATAGGATCGAGTGCATAAATCTATCGCTGTGAAATCTGACCTTCCTTTTGTTTACGACATTTATTGTTTCGGACCAGGTTGTGGAGTGTTGCTCTATAAATGCTGACTCTAATCTGTCGACAGCTAACTAAGTCCGCACTTCAAAGTCGACCAAAATAAACACGGTTGACCCGGAACATGGCGTTCAACAGGTGACAAGTGGTCATGGGGGTTCTTTTCCAGGATTGGATGGGGAAATCTGGATAGTGAAATACGGGACTACCTTAAATTGGCATTTAATGTTTTATATACTAGTATATATAGATGCCATTTTGAGATGCCTTACCATCTTTTGCGCACTCTGCCATTTTTTTCTAGAATGTAGCACGTACATTGTATTGTGTGCATACACGTACATAGTCTGGCAGAATGATACAGTAGGGTACTCTCCAAGCAGAGGTTTAGGCTCTGGCTTATTTTTTTACGTGTTTTAAGCGTTTCGGGGGGGAGGCTTCTTTTTACTGGTATCTTTTTTACGAGAGCCCACTGGATAGCAAATGGTAACTGCCTGGCAAATGGATACTGACTTGCCAATTTGATACTGTCTTTGAGATCTGCTTGGAGATTAACAGTGGGAAAGGGGAGGTGGTCAGAAGGCGGAAGGGGCAAATACACTGTAAGTGAGAGAGCGCCACAGGCAAGACAACCGAGCTTGTGACGCTGTTCCTTCCTGAAGCCCCAGAAGGAAGACGTGTACACCTCCTGACCTTTACCTGCTGTCCAACATTTGTCAAAACCAGGTTTTGCGGCAAGATTTACACACACGTTACACGTCCGCCTCTGGTGCTGTCCCGGCCTGTCCGGTGTCAGAGGGGCCGACATGTCACTCACCCGTCATCATCGATTACACTTTCCCTTTCACCGAACAGCAACAATAGCGTTCTGTTGTGGTGTCTCTTGTGCCTGTGGCTTTCTCCGCCACTGTCGCGTGTTGGTGCGGTGTGATCCGCATGTTGATATCGATATTAATATGATTTATCATGTTATTACAGTTGATAGGTGCAAATCAACGTTAATAACTGTAACAAAGGTGAGACCATTGACACAGAGCCGCCACTATTAAACAACACAGAAAATAGTTGTGGGGACGCAAGTAGAATGTTCGGCTATAAGTAATACAAATATTGTTCCATCCTAAACAATCGTATAAGATTTTGTGATATACGATAATTTTGATTGACAACTTTCAATGCATCGCCTGCACAACATGATAAGATTACACATTCGCTAGCGAACACAAGTAGAAACGTTCTTAAATCTAACGCTCAATACTTGATCTGTGATGTAATACGTTTATCATGCTCTGCTGTTCCTTTTAAGCAGGAGGGACGGAATCTGGTTATCAAGCCTCATTATCTCATCAATTCATTCTTTCATCCCTTTCCCTCGTCTCTCTCTCCATCCCTCTTTCCTTCCGCCCCCAGGAATTCCGACAGTACAAAACATCAGGACAAGATAGAATCATACATCTCTTACTACATAAAAATCCTCAAAAATGACATCTTGGTTGGACTGTGTGGAATGACTAGAAAGAAAAGTTATAGTCTTTTTGCAGGTGTTGTGCCGTAGGGATTAGATAAGTAACATTGTTCCGTGCTTTACGTCACAAAATGTAGTTTCATACTGTTGTATATGATCACCCCCAAACTTGAAGAGAACACATAATATACAATAGTCTACAATGAAACATAGAAGTTACATAGAAGTTATTATTTGCGTATACAGTCACATAATGTGTTGTTAATCCGACTTTTTGCACAGGTGTGTCAGCTATTGTTTAGTTGACAAATGACGCGTGAAATTTATAATCACTGACCACCCTGGGCACTGTGCCACAGTTTTCCCGACTGACCTAAAATCCAAGGCTAAAGACTCTATAATCCGAGATTAAAGTATAAGTCTGGTGCGGAGAGGTCGTGTGGTGAGTACAATGTGAGATCTGTGCTGTTCTGGAGTGATCAGGTTGATTCTTGCCACACAGTGTCTTCTGAAGACTGGAGAGCCAGTAAAGGTTGGCACGCCACTGACGACCTTTTGACACCGCGTTAGCAAGCGATGAACACCTTTATTGTCGGAAGAACGAAAGGCGTAAACAACATAGATAAGAACATGTCCTATTGAATGGGCGTGTCTAAACTTCACAGTGTATACACTAACGCTTTAGAACCTACATGTGTCAGAGATACTAGTACATGTTTCTGTTGTACCAATATCCATATATTATCTTGATTGAGCACTAAGCCATTTAATTCGGCGTTTCCGACAAAGACAATAACGCGTTAAGGTGTTATCGTTAAGTGTCGCCATTGTCGTCCGAATGACAACACTTAAGGGCTAAGCACCTGATGGAAATATATCTAAGAAAGATAGATTCCTGTAATGGGTACTTAAGGTACAGTGATAATTGAAGACTTGTTATATGAGCATTGTTTGTGTATTTGGAGGAGGCGAGGTCCTTATTGTGTACCAGTGGTAGGAATGTTGTGTCTTGTTGTACAGAAACGTGTTTACTATACACGCAAGCAAAACAAAGGTTCATTGAATGTATCTGCTTTTTCACCCAACAGAAGTTGACTAGAAAATAACAGGGCTTTTAAAAGATTTACGTCGCGTTTTCTTGAAGATCACAGATCCAGACCACATAAAGGAGTCTCTGTTTTCTTACCAATTTACGCGTCTCAGACGACTTCCGAAATACTCTTATCTCAATGCACGATCGTCAGAACTGTGACCTCTGAACCGTGATTATAAGTATGAATGAAGACACCCTCTTAACGGATCGCTCTCAACCTGACTGATTTATCTGTGCAAGAAATAAATAAGACAAGGGCGAAGACTCGGTAATAATGAGGCCAAGCCACAGAAGTCGTTATTTAAGTTTATGTAGTGAGACGGGTGAAAAAGGTTGGCATTAAAGTGGCTTACAAAGCTTGGGGAGACAATGCTTCAGGAGGCCCGTAGGCAACGGTTTACCTTTGCTCGTCCGCTCTATCAACCATATATGGAGAGCACAGTCATCGATTAACTTAGGTCGGTGCGCGAACAATTATAACGCACAAGAGGTCGGTTTCGCTAGACATGGCAGAACTATGTACAAAAGACAGGGGCAATATGCTGTAGAATAACATCATAGCAGATCAAAGGTCTCGCGTGTAGCTATTTTGCAATCTATTTAGGTAGTACTTAGCGTTTAGCGATATTTGGCGAAGCGGAATGTGTTACATGCCCCGGTTACCGCACTATCTTCAATTCGTTCACAGAGCAATGACAAGCACAGTGGCTGTGCTCAATTTTCAAACGATGTTCTTCCCATACACATACACGAAGGCGGCCATTTTGTTTTTCACCACAAGAAATCAGAACACCCTTAGGAGCGAGTGAACACCTGCACGACAGTTTTCGGTGCAAGAGAACGATATAAATTAATAGAGATCGTATACGTCAGTTCTATAAACACGTTCTTGTATACTTACTGGAATTATTCTCTGTGGAATTTCTAATGACAGAAATAATTAATGTCAACCCACTGAGAGACTAGCCACAGGGTCTTACCTGGTCGAATGTCTACTTAATTACCGGGCAGTTTCGGCTCATCTCCTGGCTATTTTCCGTGGTGTGAATGTACAAATTGTTCGGCTGGCCAGGTACGGTATAATTAATAGGCAATGTTTCTGTCTGTGTTGTCTCACATGACGGAGTTAATGTTCGTGAGTCAAAGTTGGCTGCCGTTTGAAACGGCCGTCATTAACGACATGTAAGGTATTTACAGTGTTGTCTATAAGGAAACGTAAGGATATACCTGGGTTTAGTGTGATTATATGGTTGGCTTTGCCTATTGGAATCGCCTTCGCCTCGGTTTAGGCGTTATGTACAGGTCGTCATACAACTCATCGAATTCGTCGGCGTCGACGCCAACTTCGCTCCCTTGGGCCGAGCCGTCGGTGTTCTCCTCGGCAGTTTCCGGCGGAGCCGCGGGTCTGTGTCCGGGCGGTTCGGCGCGGCTCGGGTCTCCCTCGTCGCCGCCTGTTTCCCCGAGCTGTTCCCGGTCCGGGCGGGGGACAGTCTTCAACACCGTGGTGACGATCCACAGAAACTCCTGGATCTGAGTCTCCGTAGCCTCGTGTTTGACGCGCAGGTCTTCCAATCTGCGCCGCTGCATCTCGTTTTTCTCGGCCTGTACCTGTAGTTCCTGCAGTAGCTGCTCGTTCACCCCCCGCATATGTTCCAGGTCGTTTGTCAGGGAGTCCACCCGGGACCGCATGCCGGCGAGGGCCTGCCTCTGCTTGGTGATCAGCCGTCTCAGTTTCCTCGTCTCCTTCTGAAACCCTCCCATGTTACCGTCCTGTGCCACCTGCTTCCTGGCGTATTTACGGAGCGATTCTTCGAACGTGTGCATCCGTGTCGTCAGGTTGAACATGCCCGTGGTTTGCGTGTTTAGCTGCTCGCGGTTCGCCAGTTGGTGCCTGTGCACGAGCACGACGTCGTCTTTCAGGCGCTGCAGTTCGGACGCGTCCAGGGACGGGCAGTCGGAGGGCGCCTCGCGGGCTGTCTTGGTCGGGCTGTCGGGCTGATTGTACGGGGCGACGAAGGTGCAGACGCATCGGTTGTCCTCGATGTGGCCAAGGCTGTAGACTTCCTCCTGTGCCGTCAGGGACAGCCCGACGCTGAGCAGCAGGACGCAGACGACAGGCCTGGCCAGGTGTGGCGGGCTCATGGCGATCCGTGGTACCTCAGGTGTCGCACACAGGTGATAGATCACGCATCGCACCTCCTGCAACCAGAGGCGAGAAAAATACACGTCAGTCAGGTGAACAACAGTACCTCCTCACGCATGTATCACCGCCGGGACAAGAACGCCAGGACACGGCAGACGCGACTAGCCCAAGGTCTCCCCCGGACAGATGTCCTTACCCCTCCACCTCACCTCTGCAGCCGCCTGCTGTGCCCTACCGGGGCTATTAGGTGTAAGTAGTGCCACTGTTCCTAAAATGATCGCTAACAGCCCCGGGGCAAAACCCCAACTATGACCCTTCCAGACTCCGTCTGACCTGTGGTGGCGCTATTTTACACTATAGGCTAAGCAAGGAGAAAGGAGAGGTGAAGACCAGCTGACGTTATATATAGGCAGTGGGCAGGCCGTCCTGTGGGCTTTGGTAAACACCCGGCGGCAAGGGACACCGAAATACTAGACAAGTATAACCTCTACAGACATCGTGTGACACATCGCAGGTTACCATGGCAATACCCTTGGGTCTCCGTCACCATGGTTACGGCTCAAAGATGAGTAGTATAAACGTTAAGATGATTAAGGGTCCGGAACTCAGTAAATTTTGTATCAGGGATCAGAAAAGGTCACAGCAAGGTTCACCAGGTTCATGGACCCTACATTTTACATACTTTAAACGTAACAAAGTGTGAGAGCCTTTGTTCATGGTCATTGGTAAATTCAATGCAAAAATTTCAGTGAAAAGAAATTCCTCGTATGATATTCTTTCTCTTAATTCTTTATTTTAGATAAGAAAAAGGACCCCTAAAGAATATAAATATAAAATCATTACTGTCAGTTGTTACCTGTTAAATATCTGTAACGCATATTTTCTTTCCAATGGATGTACCGCGTCGTGTACCCATGACGCAAAGGCCCCAACCAAGAAATCTAAGAATAAGATCTTTAGACTGACAATGAGGGGTTCTAGTGAGATATTCTCAGGAGATTGAGCAAGCTGAATAAAAGGACTTTGTGTGCAAAAGAAGCCATATCCTCCACGGCCCAGCCTGATCCAGCCGCGGCCTTACCTCATCTCCTGTGTGTTTGTACCTGTCACGGCCGCCAGACTGTCTATACCTGTAATTAACCTTTTCAACAACCCAGACCAGCCAACGTTAGGTCATGTCTTTATCGGCTTAGGTACAACAACACGCTCATGATTCACGTCTGAAGAAGGGACACATCACTACAGCTCGTCCCTTTTAAAAAACGCCACGCCTACGTTTCATCTATTTTTTTCCAGTCCTTCTGTGGTACGTATTAATATTTCTCATTATTCTTTGTACTGACTGAGGGTATGAATATGATGCATCGACAGGCTGCGCACTGGGGATATCTAAAGAACAGATTACGAAGAGTAGAACAGCCGTCCACCGGGCTTTGGGACATAGTTATAACTCTCTTGGCGAGTTAGATAAAAGAAATATCTACCTGGGTAGGGTTACGTCATTTGTGAACAACACATTTATGTCTACCAATGACGAGGCCTGTTACATCTCTGCTGGTGGGATAAAGCTTCATAGCCCAGAGCAGTCATCTTTCCAATATGTCATTCTTAGTGCATATCAGTGAGGTTACTCGCTAAAAACATCGTTTGAATTCTTTGAAACTCGTTAACATTGAAACTGAATTCACCAGAGATATGATTGTCGATTTCTATAACCAATTTTGAATTCCTGTGTAATATGAAGTAATCCTAATGGCTTGCCGTGAGGTCAGCATTTGGAAGTGATCACAGAGAAAACTCCATTTGCACGACCAGAATAATTCCCACGCGGGACTAAGTACGGTTTCATACCGGCTTCTCACTCCATTAGGCAAAAAGCAACACCAAGGAGCGGTTAAAATGGCATTTTTCTGTCAGGATCGCGCTAAATACTCCAGATTTTACCTCACATGTAGGTCTGTGACACACACTTGGCGGGGTTCTGGCCTTGAAGGCTATTAGGCATTCTTGACTGCCCAAATGGACGACATACGGCGTTACGTTACGTTACGGGAGCTAAGTAGTTACACTAAGTAGTACCATTTGGTAATCATCTTACAAGCCTAGCCTCAAAGTAGGATTACAACGCTTTCCCGGTAAGATTATATACATCTGTATCACAACAGATTAACTATGAAAATTTAGATACGTTCATTTCAAACGAAAACTCAAACAGCAAAGACCTTCGACAGTTCAACATTTCATATTACAAAAACTGTGCAAATTTAAAATGCCTTTCGGAAAGTCGTATTGACTATGGGTGGGCATCTCTTTCGGAAACCTTAAGCCGGGAGTTTGGGATTTACAGATAAGCATGTATCTCCAAGGTCTTAAACCTAATGTACCGCCTTTTTTTCTTTAACCACCCATATGCACTCATCAAATTGTAATGGTGGGGACTGGGGAGGGTACAGAGTAAGGGTATTGGTGTCGTTTAATGAGAAACTTGTATCAAGCAGTTTCTGTATGCTTGTACCCCCTCCACGGCTTACCATTGACAGGTGCATCCGATAGCGGTGGGTCTGACAGTCTGACACGCCCACACACCAACATATTAAACCTTCAGATGTAAGATTGTTATCCGAGTCAAGTACCCCACCCCCGGGCCGGCCATGAAACCTACCCCGTCAACTTCACCCACTTTACCCGGCCTGCTCTGGTGAGTTCACCGGCATGAGATTTTTGGCAACGACTAAGGGGGTGGAGCTCTAATGCTTTTCCTTGCCGCCTGCAGGACCCATATATTTGTATTGACCGAAAAGTACTCTCTAAATCTCTAAATCCAGTTTAGCCTGTTTGATACTGTCTTGGCAGCCACCCAAAAGATCTGCTTGGGGATTACAAGACAAAACGAAGACAAGAAATAGCTTTGTATTGGCTCTGTCACACTTCAAATGTTAAGTGTTGTTTTGACGAAATCTAGTGAAAAAAGTTATTTCCGACAATGGCAAACGTTTTCCTTTTATACGCAAGAGCACTGGAGGGTTCCACTATGTTAGAACTCGTGCAACTGAGGAATCTACCACTATTGTTTCTCGCGTCTTTGAAACTGTTCCGACGGAAATAAACAACAGCTTCACCTGTTTCAACCTGACCATATGTGGCTCTTCTGATTATCTCCCACAGGACAGGTGTGCCATATGGTCGTGCCGTGAAGCTACCTGCCGTTTTATGTAACCGACGCTGTCTGTCTTGAAAACATCACAAATCATTATCTTCGATGTATTTGCAGAGAGCGCACTGTATTTACAAAGTAAAACATACTACAAACATTACACCTAGCAGTTCCATGGAACTTTGACACTTTAAAACTCTTGGTATGTCTGTATGGTCAGAAGGACATCGTCTTAGCTCAAGCCCCTTCCACATCGTACGACAGATGTACGAATGGGGACATTCTCGGGACGTTCCAGGTTGTGTCGTACATAATTCGTCTATTGTGTGACGAAGAAAAGGTTGCCGTACATTTGTGTCATAGTCTTGTCGAAAATCGAACGCAAAACTATCGTACAGCGTTTGTGACTGCTGAACCTATAGACAGTGAAAGAGTGCAACGGGTCGTCAACAACTTTCAATTAGCGCCCATTATTTCCTACTTCCTGTGCATCGTTTGGCAACTCAAGCGATCTTTAATTCTTTCTCTGTTGGTGGTGAAAACGTGAGCAAAGTTTACTGTACACAAACACACACTTAATGAGATAGTGAGGATGACCCCACGTGTGACGAGGCGACCTGTCCGCTGACCTGTGCACACCTGTGCACACCTGTTGGAGATACCTGCTGTGCTCCACAGGTGGTGGTGTGGAGCTGGGACCATTGGTCATCATTACGTGATAATGCACCCACACCAGGGGGTCCTGCAGTTTGGGGGGTCCGGAAAACTGGGGGTCAGTTCGTGGGAGCGCACGGGTCAGAGATTGCAGCGACGTGGTCAGTTTTGTTGATGTCCAGGGACGAGTTGAAACTTTCAAGATTTGTAATAGGACATACATTCTGCATTCTTTTTTAATCGTAAGAGGGAAGGGAGAGAATACGCCACAACAAACATGAGATACATTTGTGCAGTACAATTAGACATTTCAGAAGTCTCCGAAAGAACAGGCAGATGTATTCAAAGCGGTTTTCAATTGTTGATTGCACGACCTGTATTAACTAGTGCATTTAAAGTTGAGAAAGAGACATGATGTTAAGTATCGACGTAGCCTCTAACAGGCTTCAGGAAGCGACTGAAAAGAATAGAAATTTTCCAGATGATATGCCAGGAGAGTTGGTCCGCGCTATATAAAGAAAACAGTCGGGAGCGGCAAACTATGCTCTCTATTAAAATAGCGTGGACCTACTTTCCTGGTGTATCATCTATCTATTTGAACAATTGATACTCTTTCAGCCGCTTCCTGAAACCTGGTAGAGGCTAATAACGACGTATGAAAAGCGAAACAGGCGAAGCTTAAGCTACCCAGGTGTTACAGTTAGATCAACACCTTAAGACGTGCGAGTTGTCTCCACTCACCTGTCTGTCGTCTTGAGAAGTCACATCCTTCCATCACTTTGACATTTCCTAAGAGTGTGTCGGACTAATGGCACTTAACACGAGACGTCCTTTAAAACAATTTACACGGTGTATGGCTTCTACACGTACATCTGGCGGTCAGACCACACACGAGATATGTTGCCATGACCATGTCCAGATATTTCCAATTGTCGGTACCCCCCTATCCCTCCCTTCTCCCAAAGTATGGACTATTCCATTCGGAAAATTCGGGGATGAGGGTGGACTGAAGGTAGAAGGATTCTAAATGATATTTCTACTGTATTACAACGACACATTCTGAAGAACTGCACAGTTACGGTTTTATGTATACAAACTATTTCCCATAGCGCAAAAACACCAACAACCGTCCTTCCCAATACTCAAAATTGGCTGGTCCCAATGCAAGGGAGTCCTGCAAAAACAGGTGTCCGGCAGGACCTTTCCTTGTCACCCCGGGCATGAATGTACAACACAAATCATTGATTATAGGGCAAGTAGGTCATGTCACCATACATGTACATCAGACATGCAATGTCCTGTCTTCTGTGGATCTCTGAAGAGGTCATGAATGACAACAGCTCGGTCAGTTTTTAACCTTTTGTTTACTGAGGGCCACATTTGTTCACGATGATGTTCTTCCGAAGACACTATTGAAATCGAACGTCTTGGAAGAAAAGGCGCACATTATTGGGCTCAAATGTGTCCTTCATGCCGACCTTCGATGATTTACGGTTGAAAGACTCTTCCGTTTGAAACATCGAGATGACCCAAATCTACACAAGCTGGCTGCAGGGGATCAGACGGCAAAAATGTAGTCCGTATAGAACTTTATAAATCACACATCATTTAAGAGAAAACCTCACACCATGGTGTTCACAGTACAAAGATGCCTTAAAACCAGTATCTTTAAATGATACGTCTCTCTGCCAAGTGTTATACAATTAAAATTCAGTAATATATTTGGAAGGGGGGAAAGGAGGTTAATTTGACCTTGGTGATTCCTGGCCTTTACGAGTTCGGCCGGAAGGGCAGCCACCGTCGTAACTATTTTGCTTTTCCAAAAGAGGTCGGTTATCACAGAAGCCGCAGCAAACATCGAGAAGAATTCTGACGTTTGTTTATTCTAGAAGAAACAAAAGGGGTTAGTCTACGACTACTGCACTTGACTGGATGGCGTTCGCAGTCACTGAAGAACTTCCGGACAAAAGGGTTTCAGGATGTCTGGAGCGATAATATGTCATGGCAAAAGGTCATATGGGGGGCTTCTCCAGGCCTGAACTTGAAGCTTCATAATATATTTAGATAAACACATTTAAAGGTAATGGTTTTAATGGTATACTGTTGCTTGCTATTCATTTCCGAGGGAAGGAAATTAGACGGATGGACATTCATTCGGTGAAGGTTATTTCTTCTGCACTACCTTCACCCGAATCTGACCCTAACAATGTACTCTATGTGGATGTGATTTAATTAAGGAGCCTCAGCAAACGGTTTCAACACCCTTGACTTGTACATGAGGTCTGGGAAATGTCGTCAACCACCCAACAGAAATAGCTAACAACTTGTATGGCAGTGGAATCAGATTAAGCCAAAACTTGGAAGCAACGTTTGAAACAGAAAAACCCTCATATCTGCAGATTTTGAAACAGCATGTAGCAACTTATCACTGAACACAGAACTTCTCAGCTTCTGTTAATGTTGCTACCGTTTTAAGGGGCTTAAGGGTCGAAAGAGTGCAAAGGGATACAGTCCAGTTGTCTTACGTACAAAAAATGTAGAATACGCAAGCAATGTTGGACAATTGGAGAGTAGTTACAACCTGTGCACTTTTTTTAAGGAAACATCACAGACAAAACTGCAGTAAAACCCCAGTAAGATTACCACCCTTCTCAGGACGTACGCTAGCAATTGCTAAGTCCGAATTTTCAAACGAAGAGAGATTCTCGACATACCTTCCGTAACACCCAGATACCCCACAAGGTTCGAATAGAATCAGAAAGTAATAACTTATCGCAATTGGACCATACAGAAATAACAACCAACGGCATGTGTTGAACTGATATATAAGAAATCACACCGGACTTGTGTGTTGTATTTAACGCAAGAATTTCACGCGTGTGATCAAACAAAGCTGGTGAATCTTCGGGGTGGTATCAACCTCTTTTTCAGAAGCACTGTGCTATATATACCTTACCGCAACCAACAGGAACGGTCATTGATAACGACAACGTCAGATATAAAAAGAAGAGTAAGCTGTTTGAGGACATGTCTGATCTTCCAACCTCCATGGCCTCTTTTATACTAGTTTTCAGTTCCGTTTGTTACCAAGGTTAGTCTTAATCTCCAAGCAGATGTCTGGTGGCAAAGGCGTTACGTTTAGAACTGGCCTTCAAGAGAGAGGCCTCGGCCGCCCAGACAAATCGGTGGCAAATAATAACTGTCTGGTCAATGTGATACTGTCTTTGCAGCCACCGAAATCTGTTTGGAGATTATGCAGTTTGGGAAACGGCTAAACTAACACAGTAACATGAAACATAAAGACAGCAACAAGATAATAAAGCGACAGAAAAGTTACCTCCTCAATCAGAAACAATCTTGAGAAACAACCTTCAGCTGTGTCCCCTCCTAGGAACCGTCCGTTCACTAAAGATTGCTGGTGTAACTTTCCTTCACTGTGAATATGCTTCTTTTTCTTCGCACCAACCTGAACAAAGCAACACCCGGGCCGGGAACCACCCAAACGTGCGACTCAATCCCACACAAGTGTTCTCCGCAAAACTCCGGACAGACTGAAGAGCAGAGTCTCTCAGCCAATGACAGACGAGCGTGATGGAGGAACCAGACTAGGCCGGGTCTTGACCGAACGATTTTTCAAGCACCTCTCTTGATAAAGCTCTTCATGTTTACTTTTTGTTGTAATGAATGTCTTTGATGGCCTAATTTTCTCTTTCACCTCTTGACAGTATACTGGACAGTGGACAACCCAGCGGCCAGAGATAACGAAGGTGGAGCGATCCAATGAAATAGTGTTGGTGATGGTTAAGAAACGCTGTCTTTGAGACATGAAAAAGTTGTTCCGAATTTGGAAAGAAATTAGCCATCAATACTGTTATCTCTTTTTTCGCCGTGCTCACACGTCATCGGGCATGAACACTCCATTTAACGTTTTACAAATAAACTAAAATTAGAAAAAGAAACAAAAGAGTGATGAGTTAGGATCCAAGGAAAGGTAACGTCCCTTCTACGCTCCAGTTGCCAAAAAAGGCGCAGAAAGTCTTCAGGGATTACAAGTTGATCCTTTTAAAGTCACGGTGGACTGGATCAAACGTCGCACCTTGCGCCTGTGTCAGCACTACAGCTTTTACTCCGGTCGGGCTGCACCATGGGGTATTAAGGAATGTAAATACACCGCAGTTGTTGATTATCGCTGTGGATGGACACTAGCCTCTACCAGGCTCCGGGAAGCGGGTGGATTGAGTAGAAATTGGCCAGAAAGACAGATAACAAACCAGGGGAATTAGCCCGCCAGAGTGTACATTTTGCGCTCTCTGTCACAGGTAGCTTTGGGAGGCCGAGGGCAGACCAACTCCCCTGGCATGTTATCTGTCTTTCTAGCCGATTTCTACTCCATCCAGCCGCTTCCCGAAGTCTGGTAAGAGGCTAGATGGGCACGAGCATGGCGACAGGTGGGTGTCCTGGGACAGAGATGCTGGGAACGACACGGACAAGGCCAGGTAGGTCTCAGCCTGACAATAAATCCCGCCACACGTCAGTCTGTGTGGTAAACTCACACAAAGAGTGTTTATTTGGCAGGGCAGGGATTACACGCTGCCGAGGGTTTTGTGGCCCGGGGGATTTCAAGGGAAGAGACATGTTGTTGGAAGGTCAACGTGGGTTGGTCTTTTACATCCCCTGTCATAACGACCGCTCACGAATAATCTTAAAGTCGTTTGGTGCAAAGAAGAGGAACTGGAAAGGTCGACGACAGGAGAGAAGGTGCTAGGAGAAAGGGCACACGTAAGAAGTAATGGGTTAGGAGAGATTTACTACATCTCATTGATGGATAAGGGCGAGTTAATACTGATCAATTAAAGAATTCTGCTAACACATTTCAGTGTTAACGGATGTAGCCGTTCGACATTAAGGTTGATACTGGGTAAACACAGACACCTGTGACCTGTCCGGACACAGCCTGGAGTTACAGCGTCACTGTAAGTCTCTGACCAAACAACTATAGCAACAGGCCGGCAAGTTTGTTTTAGGTATTGTTGTGTTTTCTTACCCTTGTTATGTCTGTGCCCCATAGTGTAGTCTTGTCCTCTAGAGTGATGGTTGATCGTACCTTATAGCTGTTCCGTTCCTATCCAAAACATAAACCAATACGGTCAATACAATTGCGGATGCAGACGTCCCGGAAAAACGGATTTGTTCCTAATCTTCTAGGCGGGATTGGGAGGGAATATCGAACATCATGATTTGCCCGCTCACTAACAGCTTGGTGATCAAATTGTACCTACATACCACCTGTACGTAGAGAGGAGACGGGCTAATTCTTCAGGAAAGTTAGGGGACAACTCTACATCATAATTTGATACGTTGTGTGCGGAATACGGCAAATGTATGTTATGTGTGGGACTAGCACTTTATCCAGCCACATATTCGCTAAAACCATTAACGTTAAAAACAGTGACATTATAGATTAAAAAGAAATGACGGCCAATATCACACCACACATGATGAAACATACGACAAAATGCGACTCGAAAGGCAACTCGAAATAAAGCACAATGTCGTCCTGGGCATCAAGAAGAGCCACTTAAGTGGTAATACTATAAGTGGAGATGTCTCAATAAGAAGCACCGACACCAGGACAAATAAACAGACGAACTCACTCGTAACGGTCCTCGATCGGCCACGTCTGTGTTCCGTCAGTACGGGTGTTAATAAGAAGTGGACTGGAGCGACTGGTCACTACTGGTCAGTACTTGCCGCCGCCCTGTTTAACAATGACGACTTGTGATTCAACGCATTGTACCGTGTGAACCCTTAAGTACGCTTAAGACCAACAGAGAGCACACCTCTTCCCATGGGAGATCGTCGGACAGAAAAATAAATCATAGGCGAAGATGTCACCAGGAATCGTTATTACCTCCATGAAATGTGTCATGGAGGTTATATTTTCAGTTGCGTTTATCTGTCCGTCCGTCCGTCCGTCCTTCCGTCCGTCCGTCTGTCTGTTGGTCAACAAGATAACTCAAGAACGCCTGGATGGATTGGTTTCATACTTGGTGTGTTGGTAGGGTGTGACAAAAACTGGAAATGATGAGATTTTGGTCCCCCTAGTGGCTTCCCTTGGTACTGCAGCGCAACTTCCGGTTTTGATATCTCGCGATCTGGACATGCTAGGGTCATGAAATTTTGATGGAAGGTAGCTCTCGTGCTTGGGAAGAAGTCATATGAGTTTGGGCCCCCTAGCGGCTTGTTCTGGAACTGCAGGGCACTTTCTGGCGAAATGTTTAAAAGCCAATAAGTCCAGACAGGAACAACATATTTTCATTATTTTTGGTGTGTAGGTAGCTGAGAGAGAGATGTACATAATTAAATGCAACTTATGCAAATGAGGACTTTATTTGCATAATTAATGAGGAAATTCTATAATACTGTGTTTTACATTATACTATGTAACCTATGGCAGGCGGAAGTTCAACAGATACTAATTATGCAAATGATGACCTAATTTGCATAATTAATGTGAAAATTCTATGATTTCGTAATGGTGAATGATGAGAATGTCATACTTGGGACATCTGTAAGTTAATCAAAAGTTAACATACATCATGATGCATATATCGTGTTAATGCAGAGGTCATTTGAACAATTAAAGAAGAAATTTACATTTACATATCAAGATCATATTTCATGGAGGTATGAGATCTCGGAATTCTAGTATTTATTTTGATTTTCATCAAACCGGGTCATTATTTGTTTGCGAGTTTCAACAACTGACCTTAGTGTTACTTCCAAAACCGAGCAGACATCGTCAAGCGAATAACACTAAAACATGAGAGCTCGCAAGTACTTTAGCTCCGAAGTGAAACCGAGAAGAGCAGAATGTGCAACCCCCATCGTATGCCCAACTTTAAACCGTTCTAAAGGAAATAAACAATAGATGCACCTGTCCCACACAACCTGTGACAGACCCTAACAGTGTCAGTAATGTACTACCCCTCATTGAATCACCCTCAAGGCTGGGCACTTTCGAGCAAATGGATAAACTTTAATTTACTCCATGTATGCTGATGGTTTTTATTGTCCAGACTCTAAACATAGAAACTCTTAGTGAAATATCCTGACTGACAACCAAGCGACATTTCGCCCTCCCACCGGCCACCCAACAGTTCTCAGGGCAGGTCAAAGGTCTGCCCATCCCGGACATGTTTATTTTGTCTACATCAGAAGTATTTTATCTACACAACGTTTACTAATCCTGTAACTTGTCACACGGGCCTATCTGTGCAGATACAGTAACATCGTAACTTGGTTACGTCTTGAGCCATATCGTACCATGCTCTGTTTTACGATGATGGGTAGCAGAGTGCTTTCTGTCTCACTTACCTGTGTTGTGAGAAGGGCCTCCTGTACTGTAATAGGAGCAAAGCGACCAGACCCGTTCAAGAAAATTACATCTTCTGTAAATTAGGTTTTACCATGTGGGTCTTTTACAAACTAACTACCTGTACATTGTTTATCTCTTTCTGTGTGCTTGGGTGCTTTGATTGCTGGGTAGTTTCATTAGGTACTCATAGTGTCTGTGTAGCCCTTCCATCCTGACTGCTGTCGAAAATGTAGTTTTCATGGTGACAAATTGAATGGTAACTGGTCAGAAGGAAAACTGTATCGTCTGGCAGGAAGACAGGTTACTGACATCCTCCAAATGTTCCTACCCGGACAAGATTCGTCCGTCTGCTCTATTCTCAATCAACGTTTCGAAAGGCCCCATAGGTGCAATAGAACATGTTTGATGATCACAGACCAACCATGTTTCCTTGTAGTATCGGTGCTACACAATGTTAGTGGTGATGTAGTTCTGCAATTTACGCAACAATATAATCGCCAGTGTAAACCCTACACAGGATGCGTTTGACAGATGCACAAACCTACCAACCGCGAGTTAAAAATAAATTCGTGTCAAGAGTGGATTAGCTACCTGTTAGGAACAGTACACAAACACAACTTTCCTGGTAATGAAGGATGTGTTGGCTCCCCTTCTGTTCTCAAATACTTTCTTTAAACATCACACATACCGTATATGGTGAAGAATGGGTGTTGGTGGCCCTCTAAGGGTAATACCCAGCATAAAGAAATCAGTCCTTCCCTCCAACGATACTTGGCATCATTACAATCGATACAAGCGCTCCAATTCCCACGGTATTCTATCCGCATAATTACACTGTGCAACTCACACTCACCTGCTCCGTGTGGTATTAACTTGTAACATTAAACCTTCAAAAAAGCCAGGAGGTCTCAGTCGAGGCGTGACAAGAACGCTGTTGCAGTAGTAGTGTGGAACTCTCGACCGCAGACCGCAGGAACACGACTAGCTTGGGTAGAGATAACTGTTACTTCTCAAGGGCCTGTTCACCCGACTAGCACTGTCGCAAGGACACGTTTGTGTGTGTACGTGTGTGTCCTTCTCACACAAAGTCAGCCCGTAGAAAACATCTCCCTGTGAATGAATCACTCGCGCCCTTTTCCTCTCAAACGATCGCCTGCGTTTATCGCAGGAACAACTGCGACATAACAAACACAGGCATATTTCAGATAAGAGGCAGCTTACTCTTAGCGAAGCTCATTTTTTTAATGATTTATATTGTGCTCATAAGTGCCTCTTCTTGGGAAAGGATTCGTCACAAATTTGTCCTCACATAGGAACTAAAATTTGACAGAACGTCGTTCAACAAACGCAGCAATTTTGAGGAAATTCCTGTCCTTTTTTTTTTACATGCAAGCTTTAGAACTTAAGGTCATGTTTTTAACATCACATTTGTTCAGCCGGGAACGTTTCAAAACATGTCTATTTCTGACGACAGTCATTATGTTGTATTGCATAGCGACGTGATTGTTGAAATACTACGTTTTCTTTACCCTTTGTGTTGAACTTGATGTTTTGGACGGTGCAGCTTTGCTGAGTTTGAATATTCTGCAATACATTACATCATTATTTCTTTTTGCAAACTCAAAACACTACATCTTATAACACTAGTTCTATCAACACATGCGGATAGAATTTCTCTCGAAATCAAACAACTGGACTTTCCGCCAGACGTGTTATTGTCAGGAACACGTGGAAAAATGTACAACTTATGACTCACGGCGCGGCACACGATATGGAACTATTCCAACACGCCTGTCAGTACAAACCTAGCAGAGGCCTGTTGGTATATCGCGGTGGGGTGGTCGCAGCATCGTCATAGATGAATAAGAATGTTTGGTAGCTTCATCGAAGGCATGTCTCTACGTGCATATATAAGTCTTGGCAAAATTCACATCAAAATTCACATTCCCGAGTTATAACCCTTTTGCGGTTCACATTGACTGAAGCACAAAGTGAACGTGATGATCCCCAGACGTTGTGAGTGAGTATGGAAGTATATCAGGTATGTAGAGTTACACATAAGACTTGTTGTGTCTTTGTGGGAGGCCCATATGTTGCATGGTTGAAGTAGAATTCGACCGTATATTTTTGGTCGAGGATCTAAACATTGGGTAAACATTGGGATGTGTTTCAAGGGCATACATACATTTATTTGAATCAAGTGAGTGTGTGTATGGGGGCAATGCCTGTATGAACGAAGGTATTCTCACCAAAATCAAGCAGCAGCCAGCAATGGACATTCTATTGAGATAAAAGGATTTATACGAATTTTTCCTATATCCAATCGCCAGAGTTATGCCGTAAAGCTAAACACGAGCCGCCTGAATCTGGGCTGAACACCAAAACGTTCGATAAAAACGTCAAACCCCACTTGACAAACGACAGTTTCCAGTAACAGAACCGAGATACCCCCCAAAAACTGCCTTCGCAGAAACAGTGTTTCTTTTCAGAGAATTCTGATGCAACGTCAGAATGGCTTGAAGAGCCTTGTGGTCTAAAAGCGCAGAATACCCAGGATTCCGTGGGATCGTCGACACAAAAGTCTTGTCGGAGCTACCTGCCAATCATTAGCTTGGCGAGGCGAGGTGTGGTCTGTGTAAACCGCAGGCTAGAGCTGACCCTAGGCGATTTGTGACCTTACACCTGGCAAGGGTCGACAATTAGTCACATACAGTGGGTTTGGGCTTCTTACTGATGATGATCCAGCTCTCTGAGAACATTTCTGAGCTCCTGTTCTACTGAGGCTAGGACTGTACCGACTCGAGGGATATCGGTGGTTTTGTTGCTGAGTGCTCACCCCCAATACATCGTCGCGCTGGCCGGGAGCATGGAAAGGCAAGTGCTCATATTAACAACTGTCGTTGCTCTTGTCATCGCGAAGACTTCGGCGTGGACGGTTGAAACCGATCGTCGACAAAGGAGGACCTGCGAATGTAGCCTTGTTCTTCCGTACAGTCCTTCGGAGCATCTCAACACCCGCGCCGAGACCAAGACGTGTTCGGTGCGGTCGGACGAACTCCGAGAGCTCAGAAAGGATGTTGGTTTGCTGCAGAAAGTACAGATCGGAGAGAGAATGCGGTGTAACAATTTCGCGGGACAACTCGCTAACGTGACAACCCTCATGTTTCAACTGGAGGACAAGGCACATCAGCAGGAGTCGTATCGGTCTTACTACGATAAAAGACTTGAAGCGTTCACAGAGGAAACCGTGCAGTTGCAGCGAGTTCTTACCGGACAAGAAAACTTCATCAAATTTTTGGAGGGTCGTCTGGAGGCCTTGCAAGGCGGCATGGGGAAAGTTAGCGATCTAAGCCGTCGCGTGGAGGCCTTAGCCCGAGAGGAGACCCAAAAACGCGAGGAAACGTCACAAAAGATGGACGAGTTCGACAGAAGAGTACAGGTCGCTGAGGAGAGCACGAAGGCTTTCCTGTGGCTCATGACAGAGACTCTCTCGAAGATTCCTGCAGCTGAAAGGAAGATAATGCAGGGGCTAAAGAAGGCGAAAACGCCCATAGCTGGCTCAGCACCCTCGGCAGAGCGTCTGAGCCCGCGGAAACGTGGGTCAGTAGGCCGGGGACACCCGACACACGCACAGGTGGGAGAGGACTACATACTGGACGTAAAGCCCAGAAGATGAGCCAAAACATACGCCCAGAACTTTGTTGACATATCACAGCTTATGTTATGGTCTGCCGTACCATATGGATGACCCAATATATTTGTCCTGGCCTTGTACGACATTTTGGTATACGTGCGGTTCCTTTGAGATGGTAAGACAGGGTTGTATTTTTCCCAAACAGCACTTGTAACATCTTATAAACATGTGCAGGTATCTGTAAATATTTACCACAACGCCTTGGACAAAAGACATCCTAGAAATATACTCAAATACTCTGGACAAGAATGTTGAAAGGAAAACAAATAGTTCGGTTGTAGCGTGCGTTTTGTGTGACTGGTAAGTCTTTGTCCATAGAAAGTTGTATCTATTGTCCGAGGTAAAATCTCCGTGTCTGGGTGAAGTACAGGGTGCGTGTGACGGTGGCTTTGCGGTTGAGCCGCGCGCCAAACCTGGATGTGCCGCCGGAGAAACAGGGCGGGGATGTCGTCTGTCTGTAAACTGTGTTAGTTTACATACGGGTCGGCTATTACCAGAAACGCGACGTCCCGAAAGTGTGCAGTGTTTGTTTTCCTTTGGCGTTTGTAGCTACAAAGCGAGGGCCCTTGGTGGCTCGAAACTGATGGCTACCACTTGTTAGGAAGCATGTTTTATGTTAAAGCCATTTGTAACGCGCAACCGATTCAGTTCATTCGTACAGAACTGTATCCGACAAGAGACTGAGTACAAGTTATCGGGGACATTACATATATACAGGAAATCCTGGGGAGGGGTGGAATATAATACAGTACTTGTGAATTGGTCAACTGGATAATTTTCTGCTATTAGCAAATGCCACAAATACCCAATTAAGACCTGCAAGAGATTAAGAGCTACAACAATGCATCTTTCGTCATCATTTTTGTATTAAATACTGTACTTATGTATTATATTAGAAGAGTACGTGTCTTTTAGATATCCAGCATGACAGTTTCTGTTATAGCTTATACCACATTACTGGTATCAGTATAATCACAACTGCACGGGGATTATGGTAGATTGTGCACGCCTTGTGGTAATGATGTTATCGTAGATAAGAAGCCCCCTTTTCTATCCTCTCTTCAATTAAGGCGAACTTACTCGCGCATGAAGCCTCGCAGTCACCACAACACAATGGGACACCTGCAGACGGATCTTAAATTAAGGCGTTCTGTGAAAACGCCTTGAAGAAAGTTAACACAAAGAGAACTTTGCTGTGAACAGCACCGGGCATTCTCTTATCATAATCTGATCGAAATATCATACAACAAAATGAATTCAACCTTTAGAGAATGCTTTCTTACACTAGATAAGCTTTCAGATTTTCTAAAGGTGAGCTAATGAGGTGGTTACTGAGAAGGGTATAATTTAGTTCGTTTTCTGTAATTGCTGTGAAAATCTGGTAATGACTAGTCATGGACCAACGCCCGTCACGAATGTCTTGGTGAATACTCCAAGTTGTCGTTCTTGAAATGACGTATGTTAACACGAAGAAAACAGATCAAAGTCTCTGTAGGCGTCTTGACATTATCAACTTGGGGCGGGTAAAGCCACACGCCGTTTAGACGGGATTTTCCAAATCTGCTGCGTGCACAAAATTAGGATATAATGGCGAGGATTTCGCACCTGGCCAATTCTATTACAACATAAGGGGGGGTTCTACAGATGGCAATTACCATCATTTTATCCTCAGGTCCCAGGCTTGTGGTAGGTTATAAACAAACAAACAAACAAAACTAATAGCTTGGTAAAATTATTACAATCATTAACATGACATAAATTTTCTCAAATGCAACTGATATTACAACACTAGTATATCACGTAATATCATTCAATATGGCCATCCATCCATTGATACCAATATTCCTGTACGATCCAAGCCAGAAGTCACAACACACATGCAGGCCCCGCAGTGTCTATTGAAGTTTTGCCGTGTTTGCGTGAGACTGACTCTAACGAGATAGGTTCTACAGAGCGCCTCCAGGGAGTCATCCTACAAAGGACGGAGCTAGTTTTCCAGACTATGGCAGAAACCACATGGACGGGAGGTAAACAGGAAAGGAGACAGGAAGGAAGACGGCGGGAAAAAGTTTGAGAAAAAAGGATGCACTGAGTTATATCAATATTATGTAGCATATGCATATCCCTGTGCCAGGGATCCCCGCAGCAGTATAATCAAAGCCTGGATTGTGTATGTGTGTGTATGTGTTTGTGTACATTGTACATGTGTGTGCGCGTTTCCGTGTTTATGATGAATGATCCCGTACAAGACCAGGCTATAGATTTACTGTCCCTTTCCCCTAACTACATATAACACCTGTGCGGCGGCTGGTTCAACCTTCTCACTTTAAGGAAGTGGGAAGAACCACTGAAAACCAGTTATTATAAGTCATTTTTAGATACGAAAGATAAGGTACGTATGTGGGGCAAACCACCGTACCAGTTTTAAATATTTACACAGTTCAGTAAAAACCCAAGGGTCATCACAAAAGGGGGTATCATTTAAAACATATAGGGTCATGTTAATGCTTTCAGTAACATACATGTAGGTCTTCCTTTTGCCCATAAGTTCATCTTAAGGATTGTGGATAGAGAATGATTCTCCTGCAAACAGGACATGCGATTCATCACACTTTTGTCAGGGTTTTATAAAACCTTAGGGATAACATAACAAACGCTTAGATATTACCAACAATCTCGTATAAGAATATTACAGGAAGAAAGAAAGGACATTTATACTTTTTTCTGTTTATTGTTGCCTGTAATTCATAAAGCATACAGGTGACCTAGCAAAGCTATACATCAGTGCAGCATAGCTATTAACATGTTTATACATGTTGTTTGGTCAGCCATATTGAATAGTCTTGTACCATACACAAGGATAGGAAAGCAAACTATTAAGCTTCAAGGAGAGGAGACAAGTTGGATACATGTAATTTCATGATCAGTTTTGTGGAGCCCTTAACAAAGAAGCATCCCCAAACCTTAAAGAAAGCTTCGGACAGGTGAATTTTTTGTTGTTGAATACATTTGTCAAAATTTCATTGGCATTCACTTGATTTTGATAGCCCACCCCCCACCTCACAAAACAACATGATAGCCCTTTTGCAGCAGAAATTAAAGATTACATCCATCAACACTGCAGACCTCTTACTCAGCAGTCATGTAGCTTCGGGTACAAGTTTGTACACAATAGTTAGTGTGTACACTGATACAGGTCTGATCCTCTGACATTTCGGTTACAAAGAGATAGGGTTCTCCTCTGAGGCATATCCACAAGCACTGTACACACAATAGTGGGGAAGGTTAATCAGAGGATTTTACCATTCTACATATACGTATGGCCCTTTTTTCAACCTTTAATACGTATAAGAAATGCACTGGTACAATTTGACAGAACACTACATTTTTTTTAAACAATTTTTTTCATCTTCCCTCAATGAAAAGAGGTCCAAACTAACAAGCATTGGCATATTGAAGGCTGGACAACCCACGATGTAAACTCTGGACATTTTTATCTCCTATTCAAGAGAGGAAAGAAAACAGCCAATACCTTTCTTCAGTGGACAATAGGAGAGATAACCACAAGGTAGAAAATACACCATGGATTTTGTGGTTATCTGAGAAGGCAGCAATAATAGATTTCACTGTCAGACAACCAATCAGATTTCTTCCACAAATTCAATGCAAACTCTTATTTAAGATTCTTTTCAGCTATGATAAAGCCTGCTCTCCAAAATGACATCCATTCATTCTTTCACTAGCCTGGATGCCGTGGTAGCCATAGACAATAGGGAGCTGATGGTAACTGCGGAGGATGGCACCCAGGCTATTCTTTCACTGCAGTGCAGCAAAACCTGTTGGGTGTTTTAAGTAATAGGAGAAATTCTATAGGCAGTACTAGGCAGATTTTGAGCAACCTGGAATGACATTGCCTTAGAAAAAAAAAGATAAGTGCATCTTTAATATAGCATAAACTGCATTTAGAATGGCTCTATAGTGTTCATAATTTTTGCTAACTACTGAGAGACAATGAAAATGATAACCTTGGTTTGAAGACTGATTTTCAGTTGTGGGACTCCTGGTCCATACCAAGTTTGTGATTGAAACTTTAAGACATTTTGTGAAGAAGCCAGGGGAAATTTTCCTTCCCAAATTTTGTAAGTTTTGAGAAGGTTTCCATTATGATATAACTGGCATGTTGCCAATATCTATTGAATTGTTTCGTCTATCTATCACAAAATAACACAAAGGAAATGTAAAATACATTAAGTGGCAAATTCACTAATGCTGTCAATACCATCATAACTTTTGGTAAACTACATGTTTATGATGAAGTTGGAACTAAATGTTCCCATCATGAATACTGTGATGTACATGTGGTTCTGTTGAAAGGTGCAGAATAGTGTGTACTAGCTACAGTTTCTAATATGGCCATAATGCCCCCCCCCCCCCAATCTCATGCTAGCCAATCTGTTTCTGTACCTTCAAAGTAAAAGAAACAATCATGCATCTTTGCACAAACACTTATGAGCAAATGTATGTCAGAAAGATGCAGGAATTCTTTTCTTGCCATATTTTCCTGCCCATCACCTCCACACATGATATCTTTAGAATGAAGAGAAGAAAACAAAGTTGTGTGGTGGGCACATGGCAAGGCCCACTGTGACTGTTGTACATGTCCAATTCTGAGCAGCAGCGACCAGACAAGAAGCTACATGATCTGGAAGATTTTCTTCAGCTCGATCATGAGCTGCCAGTCTGACTTGGTCATGTCCTCTCGGAACCAGTCCTTGATGGCATCGATTCCTTCTCTACTTATCTGTAAGCAGAGAAAAATTACAGGTAAAAAACCTCAGGAAAAGAAAGACAGTTCATAATTTAAATAGTGGCATCTGTATCAGTATAGCCAGTATAACCACCCTTCAGCGTAACACACCAGCTTCGCAGGCACGCAGTGCGGTGGCAACTGGCAATATTACACTGAACGATCAGTTACCCCAACCTTTGCACATCTAACTGCAGGAGTTGTTTAAAGCTATCTGCATAGGCTTCTCTATGTTACTACTAAAATAAGACAAGTTGTACTTGCATGACTTTGTAATAAAACTTACACTTTCTTATTGTAATGCCAGGGAGCAAAGTAGGGCAGCAAAGTTTACACATAAAACCATAAGCCATCTACATTTGTACATGGAAATGCCTTGTAGACTTACCTTGCTAAGGAGAATATCTTTTTCGTCAAAGTGTCGGCCGAACAGTTTGGGTGTTTCCCCTGGAGTGTTCTCTATTTTGACACAGACTTCGGAGCCTTTCCTGGCCATGTCAACTTGCTTGTGGTTCACCTCCAGACTAGTCACCACGCCCAGGTCAAGAACCTAAACGAACAAAATCAGCAGTTGTCTTAAGACTTCATAACAATTTCTTTAATGAATGATATGTGTCACAAATTACCACTATTCTAACACAAAGAGTAATAATGAATGACAAATTGTTTGTGAGCTTTGTAGCCTACGTTAAAGAAAACTATTATCAGATGGTTAGTACATATGACTATGATGGTGACTTTGTGGGATGTGACTCAAAATATAAATCGAAAATCATGTGCATCCTTAGCAGGGAACATACTAACTGCACAAGACTGAAGGAGTCTGTTCAAAACAGTGTTTTTTGTATCAAATGTAGGCTGGAAAATTGCCAATCATAAATGCACTTCCACAGTGATCTTCAAAGCTATAGCTTACTTTGTCATCTTTCTTGACACAGATGAGACTCCCCTGTCTGACGACACCAGCTTCAACGTTCACACCTACAACTATGGGGTCCCTGGAGTTAAAGACACAGTTTGGCAGAACACGCAGCTTGCACGGGAAAATGGCAACATGTCGCAATTCCTCCTGTATAGAATACACCAGAAGAACAGTCAGATCCATCAAAAGCCTGCAGTTCTCCTTTGTTGTATTCACATATTGCAGTAATAGAAATAATCTTTATTTGCAAAGTCATGCCCAAAGGATAATTGCATGTACATGTACAGTATCAAAGCAAAGTACAGCAATAGGGAACACACAGCTACATGTACTATCTGTTCAACTTACATGTATATTACTCACATTCTACATACCCGGTAATGAGTGGGTTTTCTGATCTTAGCAGAAATGTAGTCTTTTGATGATCTTTTGAATGGTGAAAGGATGGGGAAATGACTCTGCTATAAAGGTAGTATGTATGAAAGTTGTGGTCTGACCTGTTTTTGTTTCTTCATGTCCTCCCTGTACTTCATGAAGCTGTCAAACAGGTGGTAGATGATGTCAGCAGTGAAGACACGGATCCCCAGGCTGTCAGCCAGCTCCTGAGCATCACGCTCCACACGGACATCAAACGCTAGGATCACTGCATATCTGAAACAGAAGTGTTGAGAGGATGTACACCATATTCATCTGAAAACCATAGACACTGTTTTTCATCAACGATTCACAGCAGAAATTTTCATTTTTTTCATGATCTGTTGACATGCTTTACTACCTGCATATAAAGGGAAATACTTCCCTAGTGTTTCTCCTAAATAATCATAAAAGAAGTACAATATATCTCCATGTATCGGGTATACATGAATGTCTACTTACTGACTGTCATGCTCCAACATGATGGAGGCCTTCATCACATCCTTCTTATGGACTGGTCCAATGTTGATTCCTGCAAACTGTCAATAAACAACACATTAACCCATTTAAAACACAAATTAACCCATTAACTAGTTAATCAACAAGACCTTTTGCCTTTAGTTCTTTAGAAAAATCATTTCTTGACTTCTTGTATTGAGACAATGGTCCAGAGTACTTACTGGAATTTTTGAAGTCTTGAGGAACTCCAGGAGTGCTTCCAGAGAGCCGAGAGTGGAGGCCTGTACGTACACACCCCTCTCCTGTACACGGATAGTCTCCAGGGTCTGCTTCAGGATACGGGCTACCTCTTCCTACAGGACACAAACAATGGACGCAAAATACTCAATTAGTCATTTCATTTAGAGCGTGCACACATTATATCTTTTACCAAATCCCTTCATTTTAGTGTTTACTGTTTTCCCTTACCCACAAATCCAGCAGCATATTCCAATGGTGAAACCATACTGTTGAACATATTCAAAACAACTGCAGTATACTCATCATGTACCCACTTTGCAAATGTCCACTTCATCTTCTTTGTAAGCCACCAGAAGAGGAGTCCCTGCCAAGGCCCTGTCCAAGTCTTTAGCCAGAACTTTGACTCCCTGAGCACCAATTATCTCCTTGTGTGTCTCATACTTATTCTGAAATAGAACACTCATGTCAGAGAAAGGTACACAGCATTTCATATTTCTTTTTTTTTCAACATTTAATTCTATTTCAACATTTAACAAAACAACACATAGTGGTCACCACTGGACATAAAATAATGAGACAAAATAATATGAAAAAGAGAATGTCCAACATACAGGGACAGAATTTGAGTATTAGAGCATTACATAGTTCAATTATCTATTTCCTGAGTCCACAAAGGTTCATAAGGCAGTTTCATAAGGCAGTCAGTAGCATTCTTAAACACATTGTGTCAAACTACATAAAGATACTAGAAAGTAACTTAAGAGTGTTACCTTGACTCTGAGCTCCTTGAGTGGCTGTGGCATGAGCAGACTCCTGATCTGGGTGACAATCGGGCCCTCCTGTCCTGCCACGACGATCGTCTCCCCCTCGTGTAACCTCCCATTCACCAGGATCACGTCTATTGTTGTACCCAGACCTGTGATCTGTTTTACCTGAGGCAAAGAAACCGTAGAATTACAGGACTCGTTTTGAGAAAACATTTCTTTTTGTGTTGATGTTCGTCTCATACTCATAGGCAACAAAAACTAGCAGCCAACCATCTGTTCCTTTGCTGTGTTCCAATAGCCTTCCTATTGTGATCTCTGAGACTGACTGCTAACTATGAATACCATTGTCCCAATGAAGTAAATTTCCTGCAGTGCATTAGCAAATCACTAGGTGGCAGTCATATATGGTCCATTACCTCTAGTGTTGTACACTGAAGGCTCTCACTGAAGGCCAGTCTCTTGGCCAGTAGAGTCTGGGACAGCTCCACTATCAGGCCCATCAGGTTGCCCATGCCGTCTCCGGAGTGTGCTGATGTCGGCACCATGGACACAAAGGTTTTGGGGTCTTTGTTCTCATAGAACAGTGCCACATTCATACTCTGTGGAGGTACAGAAGGAGAAACATCAGAACAGAACTTCTATTAACTGTTGGAAACCACACAGTTGGGAGTTCGAATCTCGGCTGTTATCACTCATGCACGCTACTGGAAAGTGTCACAGTCCTAAAGACAGCACATTAAGCTGTGGTCCACTGTTCATTGCGCTTCTCCAAAAGAGCTACGGAGATTTCCCTGGTACAATGGACTGTACATAGATGTCTGTCTTCTCTGTCACGACCACTGGGAGATTAGCTCTACAGTGAGCTAAAACTGGATCAAGATCCTTTCCTTTACAGGATAAATACAAAGTTGTGGTGAAAACTGACCTGTTCTGCAAACTCAGTGATGGCGACTTTCACCCTCTCATCAAACTCATCCTTCGTGTTTCTCTTCTGTTTCTTTATCGTGTCACGAACGTCAGTGTTTGGGCTGGGTTTCCACTCGTACAGACGGTCAATCTATGTAGGCGTAAAAAAAGGAAAAGAAAAAGTATGTTTCAAAACTATAGACAAGATGGTGTAGAAAAAAACACCCGTGCTCTACTATGTGAACCAGTCAGAATTGCCCTGAGGAATTTAAGGTGTCGGCAAAAAGGTGGCTAAATGAACCTCTTGGTTGTGTAAAAACAGTCTCATTATTCAGTGACTTACCAACCTGATGAAACTTTTCACAAAGAGCAGAAAACATCCTTTCTTGAAAAATATCAATATAAGTAAAGAGAAAAGACAGACATTCCTACCTTGTTCAAGGCTATAACAAAAGGAGTCTTCCTGGCCTTGAGCAGGTTGAGAGACTCGATGGTCTGAGGTTCCAGTCCGTGCATGATGTCCACTACAAGGATGGCGATGTCACACAGGGAGGAACCACGGGACCTCAGGTTACTGGGGAACAACAAGCACATACTTAATGCAACATATCTTCACTTGTGTAACATTAACAAGTTAAGAACACAACTTACATGTGCTTAATGTTACATATCTTATCGCTTGTGTAATATTAACAACATAACTTACATGTACTTAATTGAACTGCATTTGGTTTGTACAGCTAGCACTAATACAGTAGAATTTTGTGTATTTAATCTGCTGTCAATCAAGAGCTGATAGTAGGTTGTACATGTATCCTAATATGCTTGAGCCAAGAAATAGTATCCATGTGGGTGAACTTGCAGTTCAGATATGATCGGACAGGTGTCTCACCTGAAGGATTCGTGGCCAGGTGTGTCGATGATCAACAGCCCAGGGAGCTTGATGTTGAATTCTGAGAACTGGAAGAATTAACATTATGTTTTAACACAAATCTTGTCATTTTACCTGGTCTATGATTGGTCAAAATCAGAGACATTACATGTGACAGAGCAGACCATTGGAGAATGCTTGTCATAATTACGCTTAGTGTTTTTGGTTTCCTGACCGACCATAACATTAATTTTCCTAGGCCTTACACAATGGCTGAATGTTTTGTGATGAAGAGTGGGTGTGTTACCTTTCTGACCATCTTGGCCTGTTCCCTGATGGCGTCTACAGGCACCATGGTGGCTCCAATCTGCTGGGTGATGCCCCCTGCCTCCCCATCCTGAACATGGGTGTGTCTGATCTGGAACCAACACAGAAACATCAGTCTAGAGGTTATTCTATCCTAATTTACACATTCACAGACAATAACAAAACTACCCTCCTATCAGCACAGACACATAGCTGTTATCCAGAGCTTCAGATATTTTGCTGACAATCCTTAAGGAACAACATTAACACCTTCAGACAATGCACATAACTGATGTAATAATATAGCATAACACATGTATGCAGTAGCTAACCTTGTCTAAGATCTTAGTCTTCCCTGTGTCCACATGTCCCAGGACAACCACCACAGGAGAGCGCAGCTTGTCAGTGCTCCTGTTCTTCTCTGCCTGCTCTTTTCTTTTCTGTGATAAAAAAACAAACAGGCTATTTACACCAACCAATCTATACTGTAAGCATACCAAATTGACCTTATCCTAAAGAACAAACTACAGATCTTGTCTGAACGTTAGAAGAAATGACATCAATAATAAAGAAGCATACAGAAGGGTAGAACAGTAAGACTTCACACCTCTATTCTGGCCTGTGCTACTTCTCTGGGAGTTAAAGATGTTTCCCAGAGGTCTTCTTCACTCCCTGACTCAGATTCTGACTCGGACTCTTCTTCTTCATCATCATCTTCTTCCTCTTCATCTTCCTCTTCTCCTTCCTCTTCTTCTGTCTCTTTGCTTTCCTGTCTTGACACTTGATCGACTTGTTTCTCCTGTGATGGATGATGTATAGAATATGTGAAAAAGGAATTCCACACATTATGATTGTGTATCAAACAGTATCAAATATATAGGAACTGAGAGCATAGGCATGGCAACATATTGTTTACCTTTTCAACTGTGGGTACTACTTCCTTGGTTTCTGGTGTTTTTTCTGCTGTTTCTTTCTCTTCCTTCTCGGCCAATTTTTCCTCTGTGAAAAACAGACAAAGCAAAATCGTTACTCTTTCTTCATTGTCTGATACAATAGAGAAACTATCTTTTCAAAAGATCTTTTAAAACTATCTGACATTGTTCAGAAGATTAGAAATTCCCACCTTTCTTTGCTTCATCATCACTCAGCATCTCTTCCCAGGTATCCAGCTCTTCCTCTTCCTCCTCCTCCTCCTCCCCCTCTGCTGTTGGTTCTTCCTCCTCCTGTACTTCCTCCCCTTCTGCTGCTATCTCTGCTGCCTCCTCTTTTTCCTGTTCTTGTTCCTTTGCTTCTTCTGTTGGAACTGTGGGCTCCTGGTTTTCAACTGAGGAAACAAGAAGAAAATACTTCTTTTCAGTAACATTTATGATCATAGCATTAAAACAAGTTAAGGCAGCTTAGACAGACAAGTTAAGTTTGATACAAGAAAATAATTTGCTTAAGCAGAGCTGAATTTATCATGACATCTAATAACCAGTCCGGAATGCTACCCATCTTACCTATTACACATCAATACTACAAATACAACAGCCATCTCTTAAATCTTACCTTTCTCCTTCTTCTTGTTCTTGTTTTTGGAACCGTATCTGACTGGTTTCTTCTGGACTTCATCCTTACTGGGAACATCAAAACCTGAGAAAAGGAGAAGGTAATTTTAAAAATGCTCATGTTTCAAATGTCAGAGATTCATGGATTTCAGAGAAGTTGCTATTGTCTGAACATACTACTGCCAGTACTGGTATGATAATCTCACCCTGGGCCCTCATGGCCTCCAACATTTCCTCAGCACGTTTCCGCTGCTGTTTCTGCGCCGCTGTCAGGAGCTTGCCTTCCTTCTTCAGACGTTCCTTACGTTCCTTTTCTTTCTGCTTCTTCTTTTCCTTCTTTTCTTTCTCTAGTCTTTCCTGTATGATGTTAAACAAGTACAATCATGGTATAATCAAGATATCTACATACCTGGTAGGCTTAAATCTATTGCAATATATTTACTGCTAGCTCAAAAGTCTTCATTCTGAAATGTATATTTCCGACTTGACATTTTTTAATCATAAGTTTACCTGTTCTCTGCGTGCTTCCTCTGCCTCTTCCAGCCTGCGGATGCGTTCCTCTTCCTCCCTCTTCAGTCTCTCTTCTTCCTCCTGTTTTATTCTCAGAGCCTCCTGCATGGCCTTAACCATTGCCTTGCTGGGACCTACAAATTACAGACATGTGAAGTTCCTCTCACTACATGAACACCATTGCTAGGTATTCCTTAGTATGCTATGTACATGTATCTCTTTAGTTTACCATGAAAGCATTATACAATTCTGTACCTTTTCTTTTCTCCTCTTTTTCCTCTTTCTCTCCCTTTTTCTTTTTCTTCTTCTTTTTCTTGTCAGTACCTTCCTCTGCTCCTTCTCCATCACCTGATGTTGAAAAAAAACAAAAACAGGTTTCAAAAGTGCATGGATATTTCCGTACTTCTATATTAAATGCAAGATACTTGACTAATAGGAATTTAGGTGATGTTTTTCACATAATCATGAACCAATCTATGATATTGAATAAACAATCGCTTCTGATAGATTATACTCCTAAACTCAAAACTACACTATACGTGTGTACTCAAATAAAATTAGTATTATAATAATATAATTATTGACCTTCCTCCTCCTTAGCAGCACCCTCCTCTGGAATGGAAGTCTCAGTCTTGTCTTCATCCTTTCCTTCTTCTGTTTTTCCTTCTTCTGTAGTCTCTTCTTCCTTCTTTCCTCCAGCCTTCTGAGCAGCTGCTTCCTTCTTGGCCCTTTCTTTCTTCTTCTGTTCCTCTTTCTTTTTCCTTTCTCTTTCTTTCTTTTCTGCTTTTTTCTGGGCTGCTGTTTTTACAGTAGGACCTGTATCTTCAGCTTCATCTGGGTCATTTGCAGGTGTTTCCTTTGGTTCTTCCTGGAGACATAAAACACGAGGACATCTGAGCATTCTTAACTATTGAAAACTCAATTTTGCAATGCTAACAAACACAATGTAGTACATCACAAAATACTGATAAAATCATGGATATATTCCTACCTTGTCCCCCTCAGAAGGCGTGTCTGTAGTCTGTGGCACTGTTCCATTAGGCACAGCTGTGTCTGAAGGTTTGTCCTCCTGTGTTTCACCCTGTGGTTCTTTGGGTTTGTCTGCTGGTTTAGCAGTACCGTCTACACCCATGGAGAGGGCTTCCATCTCTTCCAACAAGTCATCCTCCCTGGAAGAGTCAGGAATAATCAGTTGTCTTTATCATACAATTACCAACTAATATGCAAGACTCTTGAGAGGCATCTAAAAAAGAAAGCTCTACTTTGGATGAATTAGTAAATGAATTTCAGAGTAGTAAGTTTTTTTTAGTAGTTTTGTTCCTCTCTCTAAAATTATTATAAGAAAATAAATTCATGTAAGTACATCAGGTGATACTTAACATTTCTAAAACCATTACAGATGTTGTCAACAAATATTACCAGTCATCATCCTTCTTCTTTCCCTTCTTCTTGGACTTCTTGCCTCCGGCGGCCTTTGGTCCCGACCCCTCGATCTCTGCCACCAAGTCATCGATGTTATCTGCAGCCTTCGCACCTGGATCCTCCTCGCCTACATCGCTGGATGGAGCAGAGACAAGACAGTTAACTTTGTCTCTGCTAAATCAGCACATGGTGGTTGGCTCAGAACCAAGAGGTCCTGGGTTCGATCCCCTGATATACCAATGTTGTGCCTTTGGGAAAAGCACTTTTGTGACTTTCCTTACTATATAGTGGAGTGATGGCCATGAAGTTTTTGTTCTTTGTCCATACCTCTGTAAAAATTATTATGTGCTGGTGTCAGGACGCGCAGAAATAGATACATTTCAAAATCTTAGCGAAATCTCCCCTTCTGTTTCACCAATCCCTATATGCTAGTTACAGAATTCTATGAATCAAATCTGCATATAGACACTATGATCCCAATGAAATCCAAGCAACAGTATCACTATGGCATCAAACCTTACCCCCCTCCCCCTCAAAATGTATGGAGAAAACTTGGCGCACTCGCGTCCGCATCGACACTCACATGTCCTGGTCTTGGGTCTTCTTCCCCTTCTTCTTTCCCATCTCTCCTCAACATGTACACAATTTGTACTGTACAAACAAGAAGGCGGTAAAAGATCTGACGGGAAAATGTCGTTAAAAATTGCACAATATGCCAGTTTTTGTGAGAAAATGTGTTCGTCCGTAACTCTCACATATGTTGCGACATCCACATGTGGTAACCTTTTGTTATCTGTGCTCTGATTGGCTTGCCCATGCGACGTAAATTTCAAGATTTGTGGCGAAATATGTCAACTAGAGTGAATTTAGGTGTAGGATTCTTTAAGAGTATGTAATTGTACACAATTGAATTAAATTATACGTAGACTAGTTCTTGAAATATTAGATTTTACCACGACGCAATATTTTATGTACACCAATCAGCAAGCGTGTTACAATGTCAGCCCTTAAATCCCGGCATCCATTGCAAATTATAACCTTTTACCTCTGACCTTTCATCGGACAGATGACAGGTGGCGGGAAATTTGACTATCGGATATAACGTTATAGTTTATACATGTACTCGTATATGCTATATTAATAATGTGTGGGTGCAATAAGAAGATCAAAATACATCAAGAAACGCCAGCGCTTTTCAGAAATACTAGAATTATCGACCAGAGATTGAAGCGTTAAAATCGCTAGTCATTCTTCATTCTACTTTGGTATCAAATCAACTTAACAGCCTATTAACGTTATACATGTATAAACTTTACTCACTGGACAGCTTTGAGCAACAGTTGTCATGGGAGGTACAGTTCGTTCCATACTACCACCACGTGCCTGCAAAGCCAGTGTTGTAAACAGTGAAGGGTAGCTATACCAGCCGAATGACTAGTAGATACAGGTGCCTTAACAAATATTTAGGTTGTAAGTCAAAGGGCAAATACCAGACTAGTTACACATTCACGCGCTCATGTCATGATGACGGTGTACCGCTGGTTAAATGTCTCCGCCTGTATTTTCTTCGCTGTGTTTGTATTTACTGCATGTGGTTGCAAAACTTCCGGCGGTAAGTAATAAGTATGCCTTGTTTACATAAAGGTGTGTCAATGCTCTTATAACTGGGGGCAAAACAACGACAAAAGCCGTCAGTCTATGGCTTCTGGACTTTGATCATTATTTTGTGTTGTTCAATGTAGAACTAATCAGTACATTTCATGTAACTCTAACGGTTTACAAAATCCTACTGCACTGACTTAAACCTTTTAAAGTTAACTTGAAAGTTTTTATTAATTGACGTTTCCTACTTTCACAAATGAGTGGTGTATGTACCCATGACATGGCTACTAGCACTAAAGCAGGAAACGCTTGTAACATTTCTGTGTCGATAACTTTCCACAGACGACAGCATGATAGGCACAACGACACCGCATCCAAACACCACGTCCTCAGTATTCCCGCCGGTGACACTCCAGCCGAGTAACTCTACCAGCGACGAGGCGTACATCGGGTTCATAGCGGCTACCGTCGCCTGTGTGTTCTTCGGAACCAACCTTGTACCTGTCAAGAGAGTAGAGACGGGTGATGGTAAGAATTTTAGTCACTCAGTTACTGTTCGGTTTAAATTTGCTATTAGAAACCAGAAGAAAACAACATTCTACATATAACTTGTGATTATTTCAAAGTAAAATAATTTCGATTTTAGTTCGTGAAAGCAACAACGTTGCTATATGTTTATTCTTATAGTTGTTGAATACTGAAGCCCGGTGTTGCTTTTCTCCATCTACAGGTATGTTTTTCCAGTGGGTGTTCTGCTCGGCAGTCTGGTGTGTAGGTTTGGTGGTGAACGTTATTCAGGGTTACCCCAAGTTTTACCCCATCTCTATGTTGGGAGGATTTCTATGGTGTACAGGTAAAAAGAAGCGATCAACACTCTTGAAAATTACTCAAAATTTGCAGTATGAACCTTTTTTTTAAATTGCAATGGAATACACAAGACTTTTTTACGTCCGTAGGTAATGCAGTCACGGTGCCAATACTGAAGACAATCGGACTGGGGATGGGCATGTTGTTCTGGGCTTCTGCCAATCTCCTGACGGGCTGGTTCAGCGGGAGGTTCGGCTGGTTCGGACTTAAACCCCAGGACAGGTTCACCAGGCCGGCGCTGGACTATATCGGGGTGGCATTAGGTTTCCTCAGGTGAGGACTAGGGTAAGAGAAATAGTAATGATGAGATGGAAATAACATATGCCCTGTCCATAAGTGACTCCTCTGTAAAGGTATCCAAAGTAGTGCAACATTAGTCAAGTGAGTTACGATGCGGACAAGAAATGAATATGGTGCTCTGCTGATTTTTCATCTCTCGTCTTTTTCAGACCCATCTTGTTTTCATTTGTGAAAAGTGACGTCATGGACAGACAAGCGACCGAACGCTCCCCGCTACTAGCAGCGGAAACAACGGAGGTTTTCCGTATTACATTTTTTATTTTCAGATAAATAGACTATCTAGGTCGCAAATTTTCATCGAAGTGCTTAAATTACCTAGAATCATCAGAACCATGAAAACCAAATTGGCGAAATCATAGTAAATTTGCAGGTCTATGACAAGAAATGATCAGAAATATGTGTCAAGGAACATAATTTGTGGTGCTTTTTTGTCCAACCAGGGAACAATTAACACCCAATATGAAAGGGATACTACTTTTACACGTGAAGAGTCGGATCACTCTTGGGTAGACATCCTTTCTCCTGTCCAGAAAAGAATACTGTGAGTATCATCGATCTCAGTAATGCATGCAGTAACTACTAGTAACTACTACATTGTACATGTAACGTTATAGCATAGGTACCTGTCTTGATTGTGTATATATTAAACACCTTGTCAGGTAACATTAGATGTATTTTGTGTACCACAGGGGTACCCTCATGGCGTTATTTGCTGGCTGTATGTACGGTCTGAATTTTGCACCGGTTCTTTACGCCCAGCAGCACTACAACGGAGCCACTGACGACGGTATGAAACTTGTACAATGCGCTGTGCTATCATATGTACTGGGCTTTGCGTTTTTCGTTTCGTTGTATTGTATAACTATGCAAGTGCTATGGCAGAAATGTTCTTCTATGACCCAGTAGTCTCATGGTTATGATACATTATAAAAATCTAATTCACTAATTTTTTTCTAGTCAGGGTTATGGTTATTGTTAGTGTTAGGGATAGTCAAGTTAGGGTTAGGGTTAGTGTAATAGTGTTAGTGTTAGTTTTAGGAGGCAGACGAAGCAGTTCATCTAACCATCACCATCCCTGTATATGTAAATCATTATTTCTCCCGTTATTTGCAGGACTTGACTACGTTTTTGCCCACTATAGCGGTATTTACGCCACATCTACTCTGTATTTCATCCTGTACGCTGTCTACATGAAGAACAGACCCAAAGTGTTCCCTAGAGCCATTCTCCCCACACTTCTATCTGGAGCCATGTGGGGCATCGCAGAGTCAGCCTGGTTTGTGGCCAACCAGAGGCTGCAAGAGAGCGTCAGCTTCCCAATAATCACAACGGTACTTCCTAACGTCTTTTGTATACAGCCTCTACAGCGTAAAATGCACTGTCTTTTTAATTAAACTATCGACAGGTGTCTTTTTGGAGGGGATCACAATGTTGATGTCGTTTTAACACTTTAACACATGTTATTTAAGAAGTAGCATATGAAGGCCATCTTTGATAGTAATTTTTTATCATTAAATGCATTCTTTGTACGTTTCAGGGCCCAAGCCTTATAGTGGCGTTATGGAGTGTTTTATACTTCCGAGAAATTAAGGTGAGCTTTTCAATAATCTCATCTTTCTTTGGTATCTACATGTATGAACATTTTGTTCTAATTTTGATGCGTATTTTTATAGTGTTGATTGTTATTTTGTTCTTCTCCTCTGTTAGGGCACACGGAATCTACTAATACTAGCGGTGGCAATGGTTGTGACAATCACCGGAGCTGTTCTAACTGGACTATCTTACTAACACATATAACAAAGAGCAATATCAGTTTTACATACAGGTCCTGTCAGTATTACAATTTCCCCAATGGTTAAGTAGTATTAAAGATATGAAGAGACAAGCCAAGCAATATAAACAAGAAAAATTAAAAAAATACTACGTACACAACTACAGGCTCATACAAATACGAGTACTTAATTGAGTCAGTTAAATTTCTACTGATATATGACGGCAAGAACTGGTTAGTCCGGGACCAAGACAGGATATGGTTGACCCGGATAATGAGAGAGGTACGACTTTCAGTAACAACTGTAGATTAGTTCGCACTGTGTAAATATACCAGAGTCTTCATGGACTTAACATGAACATGTATTCATCTGCTTCATATGCTTGATTGCGAGAGACCCATTCAAATCTCTGAGTGCTTCTGACTCCTCTTAATAAGTAACTCTTACACAAACAACTATTACGTCTCCCAACCTTTCACCCGACATGTCAATATACAAGCATGGACGGTCAGGAATGGCACAGTGTTTTTATTCTGTGTGGATATTTATGCTTATTCGTCTTTCCAGCGACCTGTCATTGCAAACAAGGTAAGCGTGCTTAAGCTTGTTGAATCAGCGTCAGATGTTCTTTGTGGTTTACAATTGTCCTCAAGACAAGATCGGCAAGTACACATTCATGCAATAGATTATTGGACTTTGGTCATCATCGATATCGCTAATCGTTCATGTCTGCGTTTGAGCAACATGTAACAGGGAAATTGCAAGTAAATACAACACATAAACACTGACCAAGTCATAGTTTTACCCGGCCCTAAGACTTAACCTGGCCTTAAAGAACAGGCCACATAGTTCTTGTATACCGACAGTTTGAGCGTATAAATATAACATTTATGTGCTGAAGTTATTTTTCGTACAGACAGAAACTCTCGTAATGAACCGTTGCATTTACTACCTTCGCAAGAAAATGGTACTACTACAACCACTCCAGCAAGTACCTTCACCGCGGCTCACATACAGCCAAGTAACTCCACAAAAGACGAGGCCTACATCGGGTTCATTGCAGCAGCTGTGTCGTGTGTGTTCTTTGGGACCACCCTGGTGCCCGTGAAGAGAGTGGAGACGGGAGATGGTAAGCTGACTACATGGAATAACATCAATTGCACCTATGTGTTATTCCAAGGAGGTTATAGTCTCCAGTACATGTATAACCACCTTGGTTATTGTCTTCGTCAGAAGGACTATGAAATTGTCTCGCCGGAGTGTGGGGAACTGCGGATTTTGCGTTATAACTCTGGAAGGCATGATTCGACGTCCATGATTTTTGGCAGGCAGATTACCGTTGTTGAGGCCAAAGTCAAGTACAAGTTTCGGCTTCGTGGGGGGTCCGTGCGTCACGTTAGTGCACCTTTTGTGTTTGTGGCTTGTTAGCAAGATAACTCAATTATTTGTAAAATGTTGATTATAATTCTTGGTGTGGTGCTTACTATTGTCGGGACCAAGGTTAAGTTCGTTACTGAGCTTCGTGGGGGGTTTCGTTGTGACTACAGGGGGCATTTTGTTAATTTTTCTTGTGAGCAGGATAACTTTTGTATGTGTGGATGGAAGTTAATGAAATTTGATAGGCATGTTACTGTGGTGGTCTCCAAGATTGAGTTCAAAGATGAGAGTCGTGGAGGTCGTTATGTCCCCGTAATAGGACCTTTTGTGTTTAGAAATCCCCCACC